ACTTCACTTTCCGCTATATAGATGATGTTTTCTCACTAAATAGTTCAAAATTTTGTGACTTTGTTGAACGCATCTATCCTATCAAACTAGCGATAAAGGATACAACAGATACAGTTAAGTCTGCCTCATATCTTGACTTACATCTAGAAATTGAAAATGAGGGTCGGTTGAAAACAATATTTTAAGACAAAAGAGATGATTTCAGTTTCCAAATTGTGAACTTTCCGTTTTTATGAAGCATTATTCCAGCAGCGTCCGGATACGGAGTATATATCTCCCAATTGATACGATATTTCCGGGCTTGTATTTCCTATCATGATTTCCTTGATAGAGTGTTGCTGCTCACAAGGAAACTATTAAACCAAGAGTTCCAAATGGTGAGGTTGAAATCATCCCTTCGTAAATGTTTACGACACTATCAAGAGTGTGTAGACCGTTATGGAATATCCGTTTCACAGATGATATCGGATATGTTTTGTCGTAACTAAAGTCCCGTTCCCTTTTCATGAATGTGAACTACCGAATTAACTATTTACCGGGTTTGTAATAACATGAGCAACAAGACGGGTGCCACATGTGGAGCAGGATCTGCTTACCCTTCCAAAGCACTTGATGGTGGGGTTCGTGTTGCTCAGTCTTTAGTTTTCTATCTTGTATCTTGTCTACTATAATGTAATTCGCTCACGAAAAGTTGACCTAGATTTATTCGGCTGTTCAATTTAGGTCTCTTTGTTCATATAGGTTCTAATTTTTCGAATCAAATAGAATATATGATGAAATAGTTCCTGCTCATATAACTGATTGTGATTCGACTTTACAAGTATACATTATATACTCTGTAATAATCCATGAATATTCTTCTAATTATACCAAATTCATTTTTGGCTCAAGTAGGGTATACTGGAATATTACAAAGTGTATTTTTTTTTTATTTGGACCATATTTTTATATACATCTATCATGTAGTGTTTTATTTGGTAAACCAGAAACTGATATCTATAATAGAAATCCTTTGAAACTTTCACGAAACATTATAACATATTCGTTAAAATACCAATTAATTGTTTTAACAACTCCAAGCGGCATTTTATACTGTATAAAAACTCTCCCATCATTGTAAAGAGACTTTGGGCTTAACATTTGTCACAAAAGACTCACCAGAGGTGCTCGAATAAAAAAAGTTAGAAGGCCAAATCAGAGACGAAGTTGAAGACCAATTAAAGCCAAAAATTCCAAAAATACGACTAAGGCCATCGTAACCCTTTGACAGGTAAAGATCTGGGCTGTTGTGAAGGCAGACGTTTATTGTATTATTTATTTACAAGTTAGAGGTTTATCTAGCTATAAAACCAGGTTCAATCCACTTCTTTCAACATAAGACAATGCCTGTTCCAAGTCAGGAATATGACAGTTGATATCTATTCGTTTGGTGTGTTTGAGCTTCTTAGTTTGATATTTAATTAAAGACTTTCCATTTCAAATTTTCCTCGGAGTTCGGTGTTTTTGTTATCTTACTTTTTATTTCAAATCTGTTTTTATATATTGACCAACAATTAATAGTTGCACTTGAATATACTTTGATATATAATACTAGTGGTAATCCCTGTATCCGACATGATGGTCCATCTCTCTATCTGATCTGACATGATGATCTATCCCAATATCGATCAACCAGTTGGTCTACAACAGATTAATATAAGAAATATAAAACGACAAAGCATTAAACGTGTTACAAGTAATCGTCACATACATGCTTACCCCCCCCCCCTTCCCCCCCTTCCCCCCCCCCCCCTTCTCCGTTTTCCCCATACTCTGTATATACCTGTCCTAAGTCAGGGGCCTGTAATTCAGTGGTGTTATTTGTTGCTGATTATCATATTCGTTTATTATTTTGTCCACAATTGTGTACATAAATCAGGTTGTTCGATTTCTCTCAATTTAGTTGTTTTACATTTGTCATTTCGGGGTCTGATATAGCTTACTTTGTGGTATGGCTATTTCTCATTGTTGAAAACCGTACGGTGACCCATAGGTACTTACTTCCAAGGTCATTTTGTCTCTGGTGAAGAGTTATTCCATTGGCGATCATACCAATTTTTTTGAATAATTTCTGATGAGGTTTTTCTATTACTGTTGATACCCTCTGCCCCATCGTATAGTGTTTACATATCTCAGTTAATACATTTTGATCGTGCATGTTCACACTATACGGATTTTATATACAGGAGTGTGCTCCTTACGCAGAAACCGCTTCAAAAAAATTGATGAGGAGGAAATATATATTCATTAATATATATTGAAAAGCAAAAATAATCATTTATGGAAGATGTAAGCAAAACATTACAGGTAAGCAATTCATGCTCTTGAGAGCCTCTTGTTAAGCCATGGCGTTGTCAGTTAATTTTCGACCACTGGGTGTGAATGTATCTCTGGTATCTTTCGCCTCTCTTTAAAAAATGTACATGTATGCAAAAAGGAGACAAATTGAAAAGCATTTTTTACTCTTATATTTATTGTTAACTAGAAAAATAAGTAATGGCAGAAGAAACTACGTTCAATCAAAAATAAACTCTTACTTGACTTAAGCATAAAAAAGTATAACAAAAATACCGAGCTCTAAGGCAAATGTTAACGGGTAAAGTCCAGAAAAACAGACAAAATCAAACTCTATCAATAAACGGCACAAGAGAAAAAACAACTGCACATGACTTAGTACAGTCATTTTTGCGAGAGAGAACATTTAGGAAGCGAAACCTCCCACGTATATGACAGTTGTTTATAGTTCCGTTATATTATATTGACAACATTGGATGAGCAATCCAAACGGACAAAATAGGTAAAAGTGAGAATAATTGGGTTCCAGTAGCCAAAGCTGTGTTAAGATACATTGCAAACATAACTAACTAACTAATCCTCTTCATGCCGGCTGGCATATAAGGCTGATACCAGGTCTCTCCACTGTTGTCTGTCCTTTGCAATCTTCTCCATTTCACCCTAGGTCTTTCCCATGCTTTTAAATTCACTATCAATTGTCCTTCTCCATGTTTCTTTTGGTTTTCCTCTGTTTCTGTTACCTTCAAATGGTGTCCATTTCAGAGCTTTTTTGGTGATGTTATCCCGGTCTGTTCTTAAGGTGTGTCCTAGCCATCTTAATTTTCGATGTTTTATGATGGTCATTAGATCTTTTTGTCCTGTTCTTTTGTACACATTGCAGACATACAATAAGTAAAACAATCCCAAAGTACCGATTCAACCGTGATATAGAAACATCATCAGCAACATTTTAAAAATGTGTGGTATGATTGTGAACGCAATATATCTCCACCAGAGACAAACATGACGTAGAAGTAAGCAACTATGGGTCACCGTACGGTTTTAACATTAAGAAATACCCACACCACATAGTAAGCTTTAACAGACCCCGACATGATAAATTAAATCGAGAGAAAACGAAAAGCCTAATTTTTGTACAAAAAAATAAACGGAAAATATCATATATAGTTGCAAACGACGCCACTAATTTACAGGATCCTGACTTGAGCTTGAGACAGGTACATACTGAATGTGTGTTTGTGTGTGTGCGTGTGTGTGTGTGTGTGTGTCATGTATGTGTATGTCTATGTTGGAGGGGGTTAACATGTTTTAACGATTACTAGTAACACGTTCAATGTTTTATCGTTAAATGTTTCTTTATATTAATCTGTTGTAGACCAACTGGTTCATCAATATTGGGATAGATCATTATGTCGGATACCGGGATCACCACTAGTACAAATGTATTATTTATTAAAGTATATACAAGTGAAACTAATGATGGTCAGTGAATAATATCAGATTTGTAATACATGTCTGCTGACACAACAACTCAGATCTTTATCTGTTTAAGGATAACGATTGCCTTAGCTTTGTTCATTGTTGAAGGCCTTACGGTGACCTATAGTTAATTTCTGTGTCATTTGGTCTCTATTGGAGAGTTGTCTAATTGGCAATCATACCATATTTTCTTTTTTATATTAGACATATTTTTGGAATTTTAGTTTGCGATGATCTGCAACTTCGTCTTTGATTTGGTCTACCAACATTTTTCTATTCGAGCTCATCTGATGAATCTTGCGTAACGGATTTTAACCTTGAACTATTTTTAAAATGACGGGAAAGTCTTACATAAGTATAAAATGCCGTCTTGGAGTTGTGAAAACTATTCATTGGTATTATAACGAACATGTTATAATTTTTCATGAAAGTTTTCAGAATTTGTATCAAAGTATCAGTTTCTGGTTGCTCTATATAAAGAACAAATAAAACACTATCTAATAGATGTATTTAATGATATTGTCTAAAAGATAAAATTCATACACTCTGTAATAATCCACAGCAATATACCCTCCTTGTGCCAAACATGCAGAAGAATAAGAAAAATATTGCTATAGTATACGGAGCGTTAAGAACATACTGGCTTAGCCGAATCAGTACACATTAAATGAGCAGGAACTATTTCAACCTAAACACTACTTAATAAAAAAAAACCTATACGAACGATAGAAACCTAAAATGAACAGCCTAATAAATCTTTGGGAAACGTATAATGGTCGAATTATGTGGTATGTGTTTTGCTCCCTGTTGAAGGCCGTACGGTGACATATAGTTGTACACTTTTATGTCATTTGGTCTTCTATGCAGGGTTGTCGCATTGGCAATTGTACCACAATTTCTTAATTTTACATAGAACCGTAGTGTCTTAATAATTTCTTAAAATATCAACGTGGAAATATAGAAACGTTTATAAATCAGGGTAGTATCGTAGAATAGAGAACTCTCACAGACATTTTCAAAAGGGGTATATTCCCAACCAAGGCCATGATAAAGAGGGGGCTCCAACCATATGTCATCATTCAAATAAATGTATCGTTCAAAATAGGGGAGGGGTTCCAACCACCGAAACCCCTAAGATCCACCACTGTCTCAGTTTATGAATAAATTGAATTCGAAATAATAAAATCTTGTCATTGATTCATTTTTTATAATATTTATATAACATAATATAATATAATTTTAATTGCTGTCAATAAATGCCATAATTCAACATGATTTAATTGCTGTCAATAAATGCCATTATTCAGCAAATCTTCATACGTGTGATAATCCACCATTGTATTCTGTAAAAGAAGAAATTATTGATTTAATGGGGAAAAGTATGTAACAAAGCGATAATTGAATGTTTGTTCGTTAATCATATTTGTATCATAGTCGTAATAGTTCACCAATAGAGGCTATTTAAATTGAGTTACTGTACTTTTGACGTAACTGTCGTGCGATATAATGCAAAATACCACTAATCTGTAAAGTACATATATCATTAAAATCTTATTTAAGAGATTTTAAGCAGGAAAATGTGTATAGAAAAAGCTTATACGAAAGCATCAAATACTTGCTTTGAATTGAATTTATTTTTTGAAAACAATTCTATTTGTCCGACACATAAGCCCATTTCTTGTCTTTCATTTTGCTAATGTGCTTTGTCTGTATGCCTTTTTTTTGTTTTTTTATTACATATTTGTTTGCTTTTATAATGATTAAGATTATACCACAATGGGGACTGTTGTACTCCTATTTTTGATTTTTTTTTACCTATTATGTCTTTTTGTTCTGTTCACACCTCGTTGTGCGACTGTCATACAAGTGATAGGTTAAGTTAGCTATCACACCAGGTTTAATTCACCATTTTGTACATAAGAAAATGCCTGTACCAAGTCAGGAATATGACACCAATTGTTTCATGTGTTTGAGCTTTTGAATTTGTCATTTGATTGCGGACTTTCCGTTTTGAATTTTCCTCGGATTTCGGTATTTTTGTTAATTGACTATTTTTTCTTATAGAAATGACTATATAAGGATGTACTTAGGTGAAATTATGAAAATAATCTAGAATTCAAAATTGATACTATAAGTCAGAAGAGCATTATTTAAGGAACAAATTAAAATAAGCTAAAAATATTGAGAGGTTATGAAGTTTTTTTTTAGATATTTAATCTAACTAATGGCGGGAATATGCTGACTCGGACTTTTACCTTATCTTTACGTTATAGAGAAAGTCCAAATAACTGTTCATTCCTGGGAAAAAATGGAGCGGAGGCCCGGAGGGCCAACGCCCATTATTCCCAGGAATGGACTGTTAGTTGGGCTTTCGCTAACTTAAAATACACATTAAATATTAAGAACGAATTTTTAGATCATAAAATCTAAAGAATTTTATTTCATTTTGTAGTGGTTTTCTTTTCATTTTCCCTGTTGTGTACCCAATAATCCACAGTCAAAATTTAAGATCAAGCTGACCATGTACTCACTTAACAAAGTATTTATGAACAGTAGAATAACTACTTTAAAAAGATCTTGAATAAAGTTCATCCAGATTTATGTTTTAAGTCAATGGATACGCACGTTTTTCTTGTGGTGGTTTTGAAAGGATATTTATTTGTGTCTCGAGTGGTATTTCGGGGGAGAGAAAAAAACTAATATTTATGCATATATGTTAATGTATTATGTGTTTTTCGTTTGAATGTAGAATCGTATGAGAAAAATGACATGGTACAACTAAAATAAATTTCTAGGTACGTAACACTCTAGTATATGTTATTTTACTAATAATGGTGTGCTCGATTTGAAGTCATATCTGAAACAAAATATGATTCTATATTTCAAACCATTCTATTAGATCAAATTATTATCAGAAAGATTGCCTTTTGTATGTCTTTAACTTAAGTGGAAAACTACTTTTTGATTTCATTTAAACATTTCAAGATTTACGCCGTGATTTGCACTGCCGATATAACTGTTATATTTGCCACTGGACATATAACAACAGTGAAGGAATTCGATTGTGTAACGCGTTTCTGTTGGAAATTGAATAAAAAGTCCCGCCCAATATTTAATACAAGCCTTATTCAAATGTTATCCATACCCTTCAAATTCTATTCAATAGTACCATATTCAAATTATAACAACGAAAAATCAAATAAGATACCGAATACGCCATTTTGACCATTTTAGTTTCTTGTACTACTTATTCTATTTAACCACAATATTATTGTAGAAACTATCTGAGTAATATTTCTTTTTTAATGTACTGTAACATATTAAAATGGAACAAACGATTTTTGCTGTACAAAATCAAAATACATTACTTTAAATTTCAAATGATATCTTAAATAAAAAGCAAATCTGTAAGTGAACTTATTTTCCTTATTGTATAATGTTACTGTGTTCAATATTACGAAAGAATTCAACTGAGTTAGCACATTTGATATTTTGTAGATGGACAGAAGAGGACTGGCACTCAAGGAAAATATTCGTTTTTACCCGCTTGGATACTATCCGTGACAGAAATTTAGCCAAGATGTGCATCGGAAAACAAATTGTGGATAATGTTGTGGAATTTTAGTGAAAACGATACCATACATTAAACGATGGAATTACGACACGCAAATAAAAGCTGTTTATTAAAAATGAGATATTTGGTGTTCATTGTATTACTACGAGGTCATCCCAATTAAAAAAAAAAACTCCATTTAATATCAGCGTTCAGTAAGTTTTCATCTTCATTCAGTATCGCGTTACTTCTTTAGAACTATTTCCATGGGTGAACACTTTTTAAGAAATTGCCCATGGAAATACCCAAAGGGCAAACGTCCGGATGAATGAAGATGGACAATAGAAAATAACTCTCCATTCCTGAAAAATAATGGAGAGTTTGAACAAAAGATTTATGTCACAGGTGTATTTTAATGTGGTATCATTTAGGTCTCAAATCTCTATTAAAGTCTTATATGAAAAGGAAAATGGGTGTCATTGGGCAAATACAGTGAAACCTGTGTTATCCGACACACTGGGGGACCAGAAAAAATGTCGGATAAAGCAGAGTGTCAGAATACTCAGGTTTTTTTTGCAAGGATAGCCATATTTTGGGACCGTGAAAATATGTCGATTAAAACAGGTTGTTGGAATACTCAGGTGTCGGATTAGGCAGGTTACACTCTGATTCCTAAACCTGACCCAAGTACATCCTTAATTAAATTCTGTTGTTGTGAATGTTTAGTGTATCGCTATAGACAGAAACCATCAATAGTTATACAATAACAAAATATTTATAAAACAATGTTTTTTTGATCTTTGGACCCGATAATAAACAGGTATATATAAATATGACAGACTTCTTTCATTCGGCAGTTCAACCAATGATAAGGCTTTATTTAGACAACTCAGAACATGTTCAAGCATACCATGTATGGTCAGAGAGGAAGTGCTACATTTAATAACTCGATTTGGGGAAAATGCCACTCTATCTATGTTGAAGTATCCATACTAGTTTTTCAAGACACAAATTTTCTCTTTCAATAAACTCATCATAGATACCAGGATTACATTTTGCATTTACGGCAGACGTGCGTTTCTTCTACAAAAGACTCATCAGTGACGCTCGAATCCAAAAAAGTTAAAAAGGCCAAATAAAGTACGAAGTTGAAGAGCATTGATGACCAAAATTCGTAAAAGTTTTGCCAAATACAGCTAAGGTAATCTATTCCTGAACATACACTTTCAATGTGGCAAACCAAATTTCTCTCCCTTAATTGTGTTCGACTATATAACCTTACCTGTCAGTTTGTAGTGTATGCATTTTTTTGTTCCTTTGTTTAGTAACCATTTTTAGAACTTTTACTTTGACCAGAAACTAAAATCATAATACAATAGTTATTAAGCATGTGATAATATATTGTTTTTCTTCTGAAAGTTCATATTTACCTTCATATTCTTAAAGAACAATTAATGGTATACACAAATTAATGTTACTAGTGACACTCAAATGTCGTTATCATATCTAGATTTAGTTGATTAAACTGTTTGTAATCGAAATGAATTATAGGACAAATATTGGCGATACAATTCCTTTTGTCCATTCTTTTGATGTGTTTTGTCATTTGATTTTGTCATTTGACTAGGGACTTTCCGATTGAATTTTCCTCGGAGTTCTGTATTTTTGTGATTTTACTTTTAATTCTGCCTTCAACCCAACCAGACGATAATTAGGAGATAACTGTATTGTATGTTAAGCTCCGACGGCATCAATTGGTCGCAAATTAAGTTTACTTGCAACGCGTTAGCGGGGAGTGTAAACGGGTATTTGCGATAATCAAATCACCAATTGATGCCGTCGGAGCTCAAACTACAATATTATTATCTATATTCTAATGAAACTGACAGAAAACGACTTCAAATCATACATTTAAAATCAGCCATACGTCGTCTGAGTTTGCGCGTACGTTTTCATAGCATTACTTGCGAATTGATGCCATGAAAATTGGTGACGTTATCTAATCAAAATGAACGTTACAAACAATGTTGCATTAGAATTATACTTCTAAACTTTCAAGTCTTTGGTATGACGCAGCATGTGATCAAACCCATGGATCCACACTTGAGATATGCGAAATAAAGTAAAATCACAAAAATACTGAACTCCGAGGAAAATTCAAAACGGAAAGTCCCTAATCAAATGGCAAAATCAAATGATAAAACACATCAAACGAATGGACAACAACTGTAATATTCCTAACTTGGTACAGATATTTTCAAATGTAGAAAATGGTGTATTGAACCTGGTTTTATAGCAAGCTTAACCTCTCACTTGTACGACAGTTGCATCGAATTTCATTATACTGACAATAAAAAGACCACGGTCAGGTTTGTATACAATTTTCTAAAACATGTACAACGTGGTTAACTTACAATTTGACTTTTTGCCAAGATATGACGTTCTATCGATATCTTCGTGGGACTCAAAAGATCCGTTATCCCAGTATCCTCCAAAGGGTAGAAAAGATTTGCTTCCAGACCCGTTGTACCGTTTGGCCATATTAACAGCAAAAAAGCTTTCTTCTATAGGAACAGGTCTACAAAATAAAACATTCGTATATTAACAGTTTCCTGAAGAAAAAAAGTAACATAACAAAAATAACGAACTCCGAGGAAAATTTAAATTAGAGTATCATATGGCAAAATCAAACGCTCAAATACATCGAGTGAATTGAAAACAACTGTCATAGTCCTGACTTGTTACAGGGATTTCCTTATGCAGAAAATGATTGATTAAACCGGGATTTATAGATAACTATCAAATCCCTCACTGAATTACTGTATTGCCCTTATTGTCTTCAAAATTAAGTATTTTCTGCAATAATAATAACTTCTGAATTTAATTTATGTTCATGAAAAACATAAATCCAATCCAGAAAATCATTAATATAACAAAAAGAAAATGGATTCTGATAATAGAGAACTATCCACCAAGAGATGAAATGAATGTATGCAAGCATTTTATGCAATTGTACTGCCTTCAATAATGAGAAAATTCCATACCGCAGAGTCGGCTATAAATTTTATGATTTCAATAAATATCATGATTCAATTTTAGAAAGCTAAATCTGTGTTTAAGATACAATGGATAAGCTTTAGTTCGTTTGAAAGATACCATGAGCCAAGGGTAATGTGAATGGTATCATATGATAAGCTTTAGTTCGTGTATAAGGTACCATGAACCAATGGTGGTGTGAATGGTATCGAATGATAAGCTTTAGTTTGTTTATAAGGTACCATGAACCAAGGGTGATGTGAATGGAATCGTATGATAAGCTTTAGTTCGTTTATAAGATACCATGAACCAAGGGTAGTGTGAATGGTATCGTATGATAAGCTTTAGTTCGTTTATAAGATACCATGAACCAAGGGTGACGTGAATGGTATCGTATGATAAACTTTAGTTCGTTTATAAGATACCATGAACCAAGGGTAGTGGTAATGGTATCGTATGATAAGCTTTAGTACGATTATAAGATACCATGAAACAAGGGTAGTGTGAATGGTATCGCATGATAAGCTTTAGTTCGTTTAGAAGATACTATGAACCAAAGGAGGCGTGAATGATAACGTATGATAAGTGAAAAGTAAAATCACAAAAATACTGAAATCCGAGGAAAATTCAAACCAAGGGTGATGTGAATTGAATCGTATGATAAACTTTAGTTCGTTTATAAGATACAATGAACCAAGGGTAGTGTGAATGGTATCGTATGATAAGCTTCAGTTCGTTTATAAGATACCATGAACCAAGGGTGACGTGAATGGTATCGTATGATAAACTTTAGTTCGTTTATAAGATACAATGAACCAAGGGTAGTGTGAATGGTATCGTATGATAAGCTTTAGTTCGTTTATAAGATACCATGAACCAAGAGTGGCGTGGATGGTATCGTATGATTAGCTTTAGTTCGTTTATCATGTTTTTAAGATACCATGAACCAAGGGTAGTGTGAATGGTATCGTATGATAAGCTTTAGTACGATTATAAGATACCATGAACCAAGGGTAGTGTGAATGGTATCGCATGATTAGCTTTAGTTCGTTTAGAAGATACCACGAACCAAAGATGGCGGGAATGGTATCGTATGATAAGTGAAAAGTAAAATCACAAAAATACTGAAATCCGAGGAAAATTCAAAACGGAAAGTCCATAAGCAAATGGCAAAATCAAAACTCAAAAATCTAACGAATTGATAACAACTGTCACCTGACTTGGTACAGACATTTTTCTTATGTAGAAAATGGCGGATTGAACCTGGTTTTATAGCTAGCTAAACCTCCCACTTGTATGAGACACTATTTGTGCGTATTTTATCAACACTGAGAGCCCGTGGCTTTAAATCACATTGCTGATCCAAATCTTTACCGGCATGTTTTGAACACTTTTTTTTAAAGATGACATCGGAAGAGACAGAAACCATTACAATATAAATGATAATATAATAGAAAATTACTTGAACATTCAGAAAATTTAGCAAAAGCAAACCTTTCAATTTAATGTACCTACCTGTCTAGATCCTCTTCTATATATTTTGTTTTTGTTTGTCGTTGTCTGTGACTTTTAAAACAAATACATAGAAGTATAGATAACACGAAAAGTAAGAAAACCATTGGTATGCCAACTGCTAATTCTAGTATCAAACTGTAATTGTCTACAAAGTAAATAACTGAATGTTATAATCAATTGAATATAAGTGCAACCCCGGTTTTTAGTAGGGTTCGTGTCGCTTAGTCTTTAGTTTTTGTGTTGTGTTTTGTTTATTGTCGTTTGTCTCTTTGTCTTTTTAATTTTTTTCCAATGCGTTCGTTGTCAGTGTTTTTTTCGACTTATGAGTCCCTCTGGTAATTGTCATCTCTCTTAAATAAGTACTAGCACATATTTGTTTTTGTCTCTGTTTATAACGTTTCATAGTTAGACTGTGTTAAATGACACAAGTTTAAATCTCTTAATTTGAATCTATGTAACATACCAGTCTTTTATATATCAATTCAGTTATCTATAGTTATCAAAGGTACCATGCTTACAATTTAGTACGCCAGACGCGCGTTTCGTCTACATAAGACTCATCAGTGACGCTGAGATCTTAATAGTTATAAAGCTAAACACGTACAAAGTTGAAGAGCATTGAGGACCCAAAATTCAAAAAAGTTGTGCCAAATACGGCTAAGGTAATTTATGCATGGGATAAGACAATCCTTAGTATTTCGAAAAATTCATATTTTTGTAAACAGATAATTTATATAAAAAAATTACCATATAATTGATATTCATGTCAACACCGAAGTGCTGACTACTGGGCTGGTAATACCCACGGGGACGAAACGTTCACCAGCAGTGGCATCGACCCAGTGGTGTAAATAGTTATCAAAGGAACAATGCTTACAATTTAATACGCCAGACACGCGTATCTATACGTTTTTATCTGTATGTTTTACGTATTGCGTATTTTGTATTTTGTAAAAAGTCTGCAGTACAAAAGTGTTGAAATATGAAGACAAATTTAAATTAACTAATGTTAACACCAAATGACATACACAACGCATTGTTTTTCTCCTTCTTAATCTTTCAAAAATCTTGACGACTTTTCTCTCCTTTTTTTCAACTAAATAGTGTAAATTCAAAATAGGAACTCCCTTCTGCAACTTTTTGTTTGTCACATGTATAAAGAATAGAGGGAGAGGAAAAATTACTTTTTAGTTCAATAGTCTTATGATATAAACATAAGATAATATGATATTATAGCCAATGAGATAAATCTCTACAAGAGACAAAATGACGTAGAAGTAACAACACTATATCACCACACGACCTTTAATAATAAGCTAAATAAATGTCCCAAGTCAGGAGCATGCAATTCAGTGGTTGTCGTTTGTTTTATGTGTTACATATTTGTTTTTTTTGTTTATTTTTTGTACATAAATTCGGCCGTTAGTTTTTTCGTTTTACATTATCATTTCGGGGCCTGACTATGCGGTATGGGCTTTGTTCATTGTTGAAGGCCGTACGTTGACTTATAGTTGTTAATTTCTGTGTCTTTTGATCTCTTGTGGAGAGTTGTATCATTGGCAATCATATCACATCTTCTTTTTTTATATAAACCAATACCGCATTGTAAGCTTTTGCTACACTTTTAAATTGCAGATTCCTGATTCTCTCTTTTTAAGAAACTTACCTATTTCTGTCATTTGAAGTCTACAAAAACAAAAAGTAAAGTCTTGTTATAGGGACTGACAAATACTTTTATGTGATTTTTCTACTTCGTTTCTAGTATTTATGCTCCAAAATGTTTCTTTATTTCTGTTCCGAAATGTTCTATTACAAGTCTGTCTGATAAAGATTATTGTAGAAACACAAACAGACCGATTTGAACGTATGATGAAAATACTATCCCTGGCTTGCAATAGTACCGCTTCTGAGGGCTTGATATTCAGGCTCAAAAACATTCTGATAGCAAAACCCTTCCGGAACACATGAGATCACCTCTTGTTTTTGGTGGGGTTCTTGTGGCTTATTCTTATGTTTTCTATGTTGTGTCATGTGTACTATTTTTTGTCTGTTTGTCATTTTCATTTTTAGCCATGGCGTTGTCAGTTTATTTTCGATTTATGAGTTTGACTGTCCCTCTGGTATCTTTCGTCCCTCTTTTAGGCACTGCTATGATTTCAATTACACATCTTATGTTTTAATAATTCATTCGATTGAATTCAAGTCAGGAATATGGCAGTTGTTGCCCATTCGTTTGATGTGTTTGAGCTTTTGATTTTGTCTTTTGATTAAGGACTTTTCGTTTTGATTTTTCCTCGAAGTTCATTATTTTTGCGATTTTACTTTTTTGTACTTTTCAACAAGTTAAACATCTTACATGTAAACTTGACTTTGAAAAATATTTTCTGTATTTAGACATTACTTTGCTATGCTCAATAAAATATGTATATATATATATATATGTATTCAGTAGTTGTCGTTTGTTGATGTGGTTCATCAGTGTTTCTCGTTTCTCGTTTTTTTGTAGATTAGACCGTTGGTTTTCACGTTGGATTGGTGTTACGCCAATCATTTTTGGTGGCCCTTTAAAGCTTGTTGTGCGGTGTGAGCCATGGCACCGTGTTTAAGACCGTACTTTGACCTGAATTGGTTTACTTTTATAAATTGTGACCTGGATGGAGAGTTGTCTCATTGGCACTCATACCACATCTTCTTATATCTATATATATATGTATTTCTTCCTAAGTCTTTCAGCTCAAGCATATCTAAAATAGTTAATATAGAAAAAACAAAAAACGTACTAAAAATTTTGAAATATCAATAGTAGATATCAGTATAAATACTTACGCACAGAATGGGACATTGGTACTAGCATTTATTCTACAACCATAGTTATCAGGACAGCTACTGATTTGGTTGAATGCATCACACAAGTTATCGGTCGAAGTTACAGTGGCTGCAAAGGAAATTCAGAAATAAAATAATAGTTGTAAACGAAATGGAAATTCCCATATTAAGTGATAGTTGTAAACGAAATAGAAAATCAGATTGATAGTTGGAAACGATATGAAAAACAACATTTCTACTACATTGTCCATCTATTGATCCATTAAAAATTAACAATTTTCAATTGTCAATATGCAAGGTACATAGACACTATTATGCCAAGAAATTGTGTTTGGAATTTGTTTTGATGGATTTTAAATTTAACTTTATATAAACTTCAGTAATGAAACTTACTTATTAAATAGGGTTCATGTACCAGATACAATTATAAAGTACTATTAATTTCTATACTATGATTTTTTTTACATAACACGGAGCAAAACATAAAAAAACGTGTAATAGGGGTTCAATAAGGAATATGCGGCTGACATCAGATCTTTGACAGTATCGGTTAAATTCATCATATAAGACAATAGAGACGATGTTTTTTATGTATTTTGATTAATAAGTAGAATGTCCGAATTTAGCTGTTGAATTAAAACTAATGTTAATTTAATATGATGATGCTTACCAGAAAACAACCCTGGACTTCTGATATTAACAAACAGGGACTCTTCACTGAAATTCTGGACTAGTGAAGTACAGCAGAAAGTGCAATTTGTTGTTGAATAAAAAAAAAAAATCCGACCTTTTTTGTTTGTATTTAGCATAATGAGTTAAAAAATAAGTTTTGAATAATTTCTTTTATTTATTTGTATTTACTTTTTAGAAAATCCTAACATTGGATATGATTCTTATTAAAATGATAATATTACCTGTTTGGTTATTAGCAGTAACAGACGATGTCTCTGCTTCAACCGTGTCATTTCCTATTGTTAAGTTTCCACTTCCAGTGGTTAAGTCATATCCAGCCGAAATGACATCACCAGGAGAAGGTTCATCTAGATAGACCTCGTATTCTGGTATCAAACTCCCAGCTCTAACAAAGTAACGAACACATTTTTTTTTTGGGAGAGAGCTTGCATAGGCTATGCCTGTTGCCCAATCAAATTCAATTTAGTTGAACAAAATACTGTTTAAACAAAACTAACAAAAAGATAATGTATAATGTCCTTTATCAAACTCCAAACTCTAACAAAATGATTAATAAATAGATAATTTAGAATGTATCTAGCCTTTGTCAGTCTTGTATTATTTTTAATTTTAGTTTCTTGTGTACAATTTGGAGTTTAGTATGGCGTTCATTATCACTGAACTAGTATATATATTTGTTTAGGGGCCAGCTGAAGGACGCCTCCGGGTGCGGGAATTTCTCGCTGCATTGAAGACCTGTTGGTGACCTTCTGCTGTTGTCTGTTTTATGGTCGGGTTGTTGTCTCTTTGACACATTCCCCATTTCCATTCTCAATTTCATCATAAAAAGCGAAATTTATAATGGTAATAATGTAAAAACAATCACGATGATGATTAATGTAAAAACAATCACGATGATGATTAATGTAAAAACAATCACGATGATGATTGTCTTAATTATAACGTTTATCTCTATTCAAAGTAACAAGAAAAGTTGAACGAATCTAAATTATGTCAATTTCTTACAACTCATCACTACCAAGCATCGGGCAAAAAGTGAATTTATTTGCGAAAGTCATATTTCAAAATGTCTAATAATAAAAAAATGTTTCATTTTTTTTTTCTTCAGAAACCTTCAAATACATTCAAATTAGTTGTTTTCGGACGAAATTTAAACAAAGTATTTTTTTCTTCAGAAACCACGAAATACATTCACATTTAGTTGTTTTCTGACGAAATTTAAACAAAGTATTTGTTTTAATCAATATTTAAAAAAATCATAGTATCAGCAAATAGGCTCACACTTTACAACTTATCACAGTCATGCTGCTTGAAGCTCAACATCCTTACACTTTCTATTCGTGAGTTCTCTCCAGTTGAATTTTTTGAATTTTTAAATAACCGCTGAAACCCCTTATTTTTATGTCTGAGTACGCAGTAATAAATGACTCCCTGAATTTCCTTAGAAAGAGTAAAAACGTATACTCATAGAAAATCTCAGTATGTTTTACTTGAAAATGTTGTTATACTAGATTGATATGCATACGTCAATCTCTTTTTATTTTGTGATGCGTTTATTGGCAAAAATTACATATATAAATAATCATAGTAAGCAAGTCCAAAAGTACATCAGCAAAATCGAGACAAGTACATATAGTTATTGTTTTTAATCATTGACAAACTTATCAATAAATATTAATAATGGTAAAAGAAAACTAACCAAAGTAGCATGGATTTTGAAGATGATTTTATTACGTAAAAATTTACGCGTATAATCATTCTATTATTTTGAGCCAGGGGTTCCAGCAGGAGTGCGCTCTTTGCAATGGTTTATTTTTATAGAATAATTTTTAAATACATGTATGTAATATAATCTTACCTTATTGAAATAAGAACTATTCTCCTAAAGGACCGTCTACATGATCTAGATCGTCTATAATAGTTCGTTAGCTATAAACATATAATTTAATTTTGGATGTAACGTGTCTTCTGATTGGCTGACATTTTTGATTATCAGCTCATAGACATAATTTTGTCATGTGACCGTGACGCCATCAACGTTTTTTTCATGATTTACTCACGCTTAAAATGGAATTTAAAATTAAATTATAAGGAATGACTGTAATATTTTTTCTGTCTATTCGAAATAACATCAAAAGTGTGGTGCACACTTTAAAATAATCCGCTACGCGGGTTATTCAGTGTGCACCACATTATTTTATGTTTTTACTTCATAGACAGAAAAAATATAGAGTTATTCCTTCAATAAATTGTAAATATTAATGAAAAATATTAAATGCTTGTAACATATTAGAAACTTTGAAGTCAACAATTTTCGACTTGAGAATATTTTGTAACAACGGTCCTTGGTTACTAATAACACAAATTGAAAGGATGAAGAATATCTATTGATCGACATACTACAATAGTACAGAGACGACAGATAAACGTTTAACGCAGGATTCAGTTAATACATAAAACCCGATATTTTCTGAATCCCATGGTTGATATGACACAAACTGTACCATGGAAATTGAAAATAAGTTATTATTTTTTAAGAAAGGAAATAAGCAACAGCCGATTTTGTTATTAATTCTAACAATTTAACGAAGATACACAGGGACAATGAAAACCAGAAGTATAAGAAAAGTAGAAAAATTTTGAAAAAAAGAAATAAAAAGAGACAACAAAATCCATAAAACACCAATAAAAGACGTAGAAATCGAGATAAATAAATCCTACCAAAGACGTATTTCTATGCGTTTTGGGTTTTACTCATCATCTGATGACTTAAAACGTTCACAACTTTGTCCTTTGATCTTAAATTGATAAAAGTGTCATTGGCAATCATATCACATCCTCTTTTTTTTTAAATTCCCAGGTTTTTCTTGTTAGTCATGTAATGTTAAATGTCTATACCAAGCTGGTTGCTCTCTCATATTTGATATTCTTTAAATAAATAAAGCCATTGTTTTCATCTTTGAATTGTTTCACATTTTCAGATTAATATGAAGAAGGAAAAATATCTTTTTTCTATCCCTTATGATACTTATAATTATTCATTTGGCTAGGATTTTTATTTTAAATTTCTTACCGCTATCAAAACCTGGTTGAAAAGACGTCGATATTCTTCAGTGGTTGTATCGGTAAGACTGATGGTAACGGTGATCATAATCCGCAGTCTACATGTGTATCTGTACTCGATGGTGACAGCTAGAAGAGAGAGCATACATGATGATTATCAGTCAATGAATAAAATATTACCAAGAATGCAATTCGCCGTTTTAGAATTTAATGCATTCTGGGTAATATTTCCAAAAGCCTTCATCTGTATCTACACTCGATGGTGACAGCTAGAAGAGAGAGCAAACATGATGATTATTAGTCAATGAATAAAACATTACCCAGAATGCAAATCGCCGTTTTAGAATTTAATGCATTCTGGGTAATATTTCCAAAAATCTACATCTGTATCTATACTCGGTGATGACAGCTAGGAAAGAGAGCATACATGATGGTACATCTTGCTTATTATCAGTTAATAAATAAAACAGGAATGGTAATCAAATGGTATACTGTAAATTCAGAAATGTTTTTATGATGTATTTGTGCATAAAATTGGGACGGTATAGGTAAGGCAAATATTGAAACTCGCATAAAAATTTTCATAGTGCTATTTGTTTTAAACATTTTTAAAAATTGCAATAAGCAATCTCGCATTTTTGTTTTGTTTTACAATTGTAATAAGAAATGCGTCGAAATATTTTTGAACTTTCAGTCATACTTTGGAGAATTGACGTAAAACAGGTTCCAGTCAATCAATCAATTAATATATCGATCAACCAATGAATTAGTAAATCTATTTATCTACACTTCAATAGATAATGAGTCAGAAATACATTTCGTAGAGGATATTTATACATTCTTTTAAAAAAGATACTTAAATGAAATTGCTAATGAAACTAATTATTTTCTTCAACATATATCTTTAACACACATTTTTAGATTTGTATACTCACAAGATTGAGATGGTGGCGTTGTGGTCTTAGTTGTCGTTGTAGGCTTAGTTGTTGTTGTGGGTTTTGTTGTCGTGGTTGTAGGCCGAACCGTAGTTGTCGAATGTTCAGTTGTTGTAGGCTGAACTGTTGTCGTGTTTTCAGTAGTTGATAGCTGACCTGCTGTCGTTTGTTCAGTGGTTATATGCTGAATTGTTGTCGTTTTTTCAGTGGTTGATAGCCGACCTGTTGTCGTTTGTTCAGTGGTTGTAGGCTGAACTGTTGTCGTTTTTTCAGTGGTTGTTTGTTGAAATGTTGTCGTTTGTTCAGTGGTTGTTGGCCAAACTTTTGTCTTTTGTTCAGTTGTTGTTGGCTTAACTGTTGTCGTTTGTTCATCTGTAGTTGGCAGTACTGTTGTGATTGTTTGTTCGGTTGTTGTACGCTGAACTGAAGTTGTCGTTTGTTCTGTTGATATAGGATTAACTATAGTTGTCGTTTGTTCATTTGTTGAAGGTTGAACAGTAGTTGTCGTTTGTTCAGTTGTAGTAGGTTGAACTGTAGTTGTCGTTGGCTGAACTGTAGTGGTATTTTTTTCAGTTGTGAAAGGTTGAACTATAGTAGTCGTTTCATCAGTTTTTGTTAGATGAACCGTAGCGCTAGTTTCTTCAATTGTAGTAGGACTTACTGTAGCTGGTTCTTCAGTTGTTAAAGGTGGAATGGTTGAAGTCGTTTCTTTAGTTGTTGAAGGTTGAACGATTGTAGTTGTTTCTTCAGTTGTTGTTGGTTGAACGATTGTAGTTGTTTCTTCAGTTGTTGAAGGTTGAACGGTTGTAGTCGTTTCTTTGGTTGTTGTAGGATAAACGGTTGTAGTCGTTTCTTCAGAGGTTGTTGGTTGAACGGTTGTAGTCGTTTCTTCAGTTGTTGAAGGTTGAACGGTTGTAGTCGTTTCTTCGGTTGTTGTAGGATAAACGGTTGTAGTCGTTTCTTCAGAGGTTGTTGGTTGAACGGTTGCTGTCGTTTCTTCAGTTGTTGTAGGTTGAACGGTTGTAGTCGTTGCTTCAGAGGTTGTGGGTTGAACGGTTGTAGTCGTTTCTTCAGAGGTTGTTGGTTGTTCGGTTGTAGTCGTTTCTTCAGTTGTTGTAGGTTGAACGGTTGAAGTCGTTTCTTCAGAGGTTGTTAGTTGAACGGGTGTAGTCGTTTCTTCAGTTGTTGAAGGTTGAACAGTTGTCGTAGTAGGAGTCGTTGTTGTAGTATGAGTAGTTGTTGCTAATGTTGTTGTATAAGTAGGAGTAGTTGTTGTTGTTGTAGGAGTGGTTGTTGCTAATGGTGTTGTCGAAGTGGGAGTAGTTGTTGCTAATGTTGTTGTCGAATTTGGAGTAGTTGTTGTAGTATGAGTAGTTGTTGCTAATGTTGTTGTAGTAGGAGTAGTTGTTGCTAATGTTGTTGTCGAATTTGGAGTAGTTGTTGTAGTATGAGTAGCTGTTGCTAATGCTGTTGTAGTATCAGTAGTTGTTGCTAATGTTGTTGTCGAAGTAGGACTAGTTGTTGTCATAGTTGTTAATAATGTTGTTGTAGTAGGAAAAGTTGTTGTCGTTGCAGGAGTAGTTGTTGTTGTAGTAAGAGTAGTTGCTGTCGTTGCAGCAGTTGTTGTTGTCGTTGCAGGAATAGTTGTCGTCGTTGCAGGAGTAGTTGTTGTCGTTGCAGGAATAGTTGTTGTCGTTGCAGCAGTTGTTGTTGTCGTTGTAGGGATAATTGTTGTCGTTGCAGGAGTAGTTGTTGTTGTAGTAAGAGTAGTTGTTGTCGTTGCAGGAGTAGTTGTTGATGTTGTTGTTGTAGGTCCACATGAGGCACAGCATGCAGTCCCATGATCTGCACACATTTGTGGTGCTTCCCTCGCCATATCTGCACAAGTCCAACCATTGTTAAATAGTGCACCTTTGCGATCTCCATAAAGACAGGTCTCTAAAAAAATTGCAAAAAAAATCTAATAGAGATGATGAATAAAACTCTTTTGACAGGCAACACCCTAACAAATACATCTTTTTATCAAATTGGGAAAAACCACAATAAAATCTGTTTCACATTTTACCAATTATTTTCACCACATGATAAAATAGTTGTGGTGAAATTATGTGTTTCGACTGGTTTTTTTTTTCAAAACTAAAATATATATAAAAAAAAACACTTTGAATTGGTTTATGATACCGATTTCTAGGAAAGTTATAAAAAATTTATAAAATACACAAGGTGCTTAAGCAAAACAACTAAATTGACAAAGTTCATAAAACAAACGAACTTCTGTTGTTTTAAGAAGCAGTATACATTGCAACTTTTTTCAGTTCCATTTGATAATTTATCAATCGTTATTAAAAAGAATAAATTGATCATTGATTCATAAGAACAGTCGTCAAGAATGATAGTCCTAGGTTGAACTAATAGTACATTATTAAAAGTTCCAAGTGAGCCACTTAAAAATTACGATATATTATAACTATAACTAACATAAATCATTGTGGTTTTTTCGAAAACAGAGGGAAGGAAATCATAATCAAGTATACAACAACAACAGTAAGAATTTAACATCTCTTCAAACTACAATGACGCACATTGACTGGTATTTGTTTTATATATAATTTGACCTCTGGTAAAGAGTTGTCTCATTGACAATCATATTATATCTTTTATTTTTTATTTAATGTGTTTCCCTCAGTTCTAGTTGTAACCCGGATTTGTTTTTTCTCAATCGATTCATGAATTGTGAACAACGGTATACTAATGTTGCCTTTATTTATATATATACATTGAAATTTTAGGACAGAAACAATATTTTAAAAAATATCAATGGACAAACAAATTTCTCAAAATAAGCGGGGACAGTATAGAAATAATCTGCACTCACCATCTCCCGCAGGAGCATTTGAATCTGACGTACATACACCAGATATACACCACTGTAAAGAAATACACAATATTTATAATGTGTTCGAATAAGCTTTAGATAATTTTAAACGTTCCACAAATTTCTAAATTTAAGTTTTTTTATTATGATATTAACAAAATGTAACGGAATTAAAACTGCATTGATTAGTATTACAATGTGTGTAAATTTGCAGATATACGTCTTGCAAAATGGATTATCAGTGTAGTTTTATTCTTAAACCCTTAGTCCAGTAAATCATTTTCATATTGCTAGTATTTTCTATTGATTTGACTAACATCTGAAACCAAAGGTTGATTTAGTCGAAAGTTTTTTTTTCCGGTTTTATGGACTTTCTCGATTTTGAATTTGCCTTGGAGATCGGTTTTTTTTTAAATTCTTTAAAGTCTTTTCCTTATTTTGCACATTTAAGTTGAGAATGGTGGAGGCTGGCGGTTGATTTATGTCATACTCTGTCAAAGAAACCAGGCTTACCTCGTTTTAGATCAGGAAATTTCCTCTGTGTTTTTTTTATTAAGATGTATATATTAAGCTTAACTTACGTTTTAGAACATCAGTAATCTACTGCTGCCATTTCACTATGGTAATGCGATGTCATTAATGTTGCGAATTAAATATAAAGCTAACCTTAATTATCAACCTTGCACTGAACACGTGACATTTTATCAGCATTTTATAACATATGTTACGAAGTATTTTAATGTTATATTCAGATTTTGCAATTGTTTAGAGAATGACTTTTGAACAGCAGTTTACTATTGTTGCCTTATTTACATAACAAAATCAATTGAAAGTTTCTCAATTCAAATGTTGCTCCAAGAATATATAATTGTAATAACAAACCTTTTGATTTCCACAGAGTATGTAGTCAGGAATCTTATTTTCATAACAGGTGTTCGTATTTGGTACGGCACAGTAAAGTTTTGTACATAGGGAGGAATAATCTCCGTTGTAGAAGTACTAAAATAGAAGATCACACAATACATGGAACATATCAATCGAGAGCAGTTATGTTGACTTCAAAACTTTTGATTGTTAAATTGTGTATCATGATTAACGCATTTGTAGTTGGATTACACAGATCTTTACAAACAAGTATCACGAATGCAAACTTAATACATATTATTATTTTGTTTTAACTTTTTAACTTTTACTAGATAAATTTTAGAGCAAGATTCAAGATTCGTATTAATCCCATTAGTTTATGTTTTATTGGCTACGTATTTTGAAAGGTTGTCCAAATATCACGAAAATATTTTAACAAACAACACCTAAATGTGCTGGATTATGTTTTTTGTTTTCAGTGAATATTTAAGAATGCGACATGAGTACGCGAAAAAATAAAACTTATGAAAAATGGATGGATAGATCATTATAAATATAGTCAAAGTTCGCTGGTACAAATACAATATTCTGCTTTAGGTACATATAAATATATATATATTTATATATATATCAATACTCACCCTACACATATGTGACCCTGTACCACGTTTTTGTACACACAGCTGATCAGCATCTGTTGTAGGCTGAAATGTTGTAGTTGTTTCTAATGTGGCTGTCGTAGCAGCAGCTGTTGTTGTCGTAGTAGGAGTAGTTGTTGTTGTAGTAGGAGAACTTGTTGTCGTTACAGGAGTAGTTGTTGTCGTTGCAGAAGTGGTTGTGGATGTTGTCGTTGGAGGCGCACACGAAGCACAGCATGCAGTTGTACTTGAACAATAACTTGGTGCATTCCTAACCATATCTTCACAAGTCCAACCATTGCCAAAAATAACACCTCTTTTATCTCCATAAAGACAGGTCTCTAAAATTGACATACCAAATAGAATTAATAAAGAAAATTCATTTGATGAGAAACAACTGACCAAAATATTAGATAATCAATTTACGAAAACTAGAGTAAAACTTTTTTTATATTTACCAACTATTTTAAGCACATCATATAATAGTTGTGGTGAAATTATAGATTTCGACTGTTTTTTCCCAAATCTAAAATATATATGCAAAACCGATTTGAATTGCATTATGATACCGAATTATGTGAAATGTTCTAGAAAAGTTAAAAATTTCATAAATTTACAAGGTGCTTTAGCATAACGACTAAATTGGCAAAGTCCATAAAACAATGAATTTCTGTTGGTTTCAGGAATATCTACTTTTTCAGTTCCATTTTATAATTCATCAATCGTATCTTAAAGGAATAAATGGATCATTGGTTCCGAAGAACAGTCCTCAAGGATGATGGTTCCATATGGGACTTATAGGTCATTGTTAGAAGTTTAAGTGAGCCACTTACACCGTACCATATATCATAACTATGATTAATATAAATCATCGTTATTTTTCGAAAACATAGGGAAAGAAATTATGATTACACAAGTAGACAGACAACAACAGAAATTATTTTACATCTCACAAGGCCGTACATTGATCTGGTGGAGAGTTGGCAATCATACCAGAGCTTTTTATTTTAATATATATATTGAAATTTTAGGGAGAAAAAACGTTTAAAAATATAAATGTGCAATCAAATTTCTCAAAATAAGCTGGAAAAGTAAAGAATTAATCTGCACTCACCATCTCCCGCAGGAGCATTTGAATCTGACGTACATACACCAGATATACACCACTGTAAAGAAATAAGCCATATTTATTATATGTTCAAATACTGTTATACTTTTGATCCCTTCCGGTTATATCAGCTCTTTAAAGTGTATGATGTATTCATATACATTTTCAAATAGTTTGGCCCAAAACATCACAGAAGAGATAATAATTGTCGAAATGTATATCACATAAATGTTGGTATAGTTTAAGGTTAACACACGCCAAAGTAAGAAAAATGATTTAATATTTGCATATTTCTAACAATAGCGGTAAATTAACTGATATGTATTTGATCAACTGATGTAAGTTAAACCGATGAGTATCGAACGAGTGTTCTTTTCAGGCAAAAATTAAGTTTATAATAAAATAGTAACGCTGTCACAATGCGTAAATGTGATCGTTACGAAAACTCAGGAACAAGAACAATGTGAAATAATGCCCCAAAAAAGTCGAAGCCATTACAATCACGGAATTAGACTATTTAACATTATCATAAAATCAATAAAATAAACAAGATGATCTAACAAATATAGCCATTCTGCACACATAGGGAGATCTAAGGGCAATTTTAATTGTTTGCCGATTGTAAATGTTAAATGAAATGTTCTTATCAGATTATCAGAGCGCAAGAAATCAGGAAAGTAATTTCTACCATTTAATATATTTGATAAAAACATTCAAAAAGGTATAAACAATTTGCGTTTTCTCTACGAACTGTCTTATGAAAGTTTCTCGTTTTTTTACTAATATAAGAGAAGTAATCATTCATATCAATCTTGCGTGGATTGCTTGTTACTCTCCCTTGAACCATGAAATTTCTACGAATAGAAATACATATTTTCCATTGAGTCCAAATTTAAGAATCTTAAAACAATAAATGTTTAACCCTCGAACCAACGATGTTTTTACAAATAATTAAAATTCATACTAACGTTTTAAGGTTACCTAGCATATTATTCAGTGATACCTAAAGTATAGTTATGCTGAAGAAACATTGCTTATTATACTTTATTAAGAACGTAACTTGGATTTCAATGTATTTGCCACAGGTCATGTCATATTCAGGATTGAAGATGTTGCCTTCTTGAACCAAACGTGTTGTCTTGAAAGAATAAAAGGAAAACACGGGAATATTTAAAGGAATACACGTGACTATCTAAAGTAATACGCGAGATTATTTAAAGTGATAAACGTGACTATTTAAAGGAATACACGTGACTATTCAAAGTAATACACGTGATTATTTAAAGGAATACACGTGACTATTTAAAGTAAAACACGCGATTATTTAATTATCTCATACCTTTTTGTTACCACAGAGAGTTCCATCATCACCTCCATTATGTCCATAGCAGTTCAAACTACCAGCCGTGTCAGAACACCATAACCGCGTACAAATAGTAGAAAAATCACCACCATAAGGGTCCTGAAAATATTAATGGAATGACTTATATTTTTCTATCTATGAAGAAATATTATAAAAAAAATTATGGTGCAGACTGAATAACACGGGTAACTTTTACTAGATAAATTTTACAGCAATATTCAAAATATCCAAATATCACGCTTTTTTTTCAACAAAACCTGACCTAAATGTGCTGGATTCTGAGTAATGTTTACAGTGATTCCTCAAGAATGCGGTATGTGTGCTCGAAAAAACCCACAACTCAAGATAAATAGATATACATGTATAGATTATTATAATATAGCCAAAGTTCGCTGCTACTTATTCAATATTCCGCATTGGGTACACATTAACATATATCAAGACTCACCCTGCATAAATGTGACCCTGTACCACGTTTTTGTACACACTGCTGATCAGCATCTGGTGTAGGCTGAACTGTTGTTGTTGTTGCTAATGTTGTTGTCGTAGGAGTAGTTGTTGTCACAGAAGGAGTAGTTGTTGTCGTATTATAATCAGTTATTGTCGTAGTCACAGTAGTTGTGGATGTTGTCGTTGTAGGTGCACAAGAGGCACAGCATGCAGTTGTACTTGAACAATAACTTGGTGCATTCCTAACCATATCTTCGCAAGTCCAACCATTACCAAAAATAACACCTCTTTTATCTCCATAAAGACAGGTCTCTAAAATTGAAAGAAATATACCAAATAGAACTAATAAAGAAAATTCATTTGATGAGAAACAACTGAAAAAATATTAGATTATCAATTTGTGAAAACTAGAGTAAAGTTCTGTTATATTTTACCAACTATTTTAAGCACATCATATAATAGTTGTGGTGAAATTATAGATTTCGACTGTTTTTTCCCAAATCTTAAATATAGATATGCAAAACCGATTTGAATTGCATTATGATACCGAATCATGTGAAATTTGCTAGAAAAGTTTAAAATTTCATAAATTTACAAGGTGCTTTAGCAGGACGACTAAATTGACAAAGTCCATTAAACAATGAATTTCTGTTGGTTTCAGGAATATCAACTTTTTCAGTTCCATTTTATAATTTATCCATCGTATCTTAAAGGAATAAATGGATCATTGGTTCCGAAGAACAGTTCTCAAGGATGATGGTTCCATATGGGACTTATAGGTCATTGTTAGAAGTTTAAGTGAGCCACTTAAACCATACCATATATCATAACTATGATTCATATAAATCATCTTTATTTTTCGAAAACATAGGGAAAGAAATTATGATTATACAAGTAGACAAACAACGACAGAAATTATTTTACATCTCACAAGGCCGTACATTGATCTGGTGGAGAGTTGGCAATCATACCAGAGCTTTTTATTTTAATATATATATTGAAATTTTAGGGAGAAAAAACGTTTAAAAATATAAATGTGCAATCAAATTTCTCAAAATAAGCTGGAAAAGTAAAGAACTAATCTGCACTCACCATCTCCCGCAGGAGCATTTGAATCTGACGTACATACACCAGATATACACCACTGTAAAGAAATAAGCCATATTTATTATATGTTCAAATACTGTTATACTTTTGATCCCTTCCGGTTACATCAGCTCTTTAAAGTGTATGATGTATTCATATACATTTTCAAATAGTTTGGCCCAAAACATCACAGAAGAGATAACAATTGTCGAAATGTATATCACAAAAATGTTGGTATAGTTTAAGGTTAACACACGCCAAAATAAGAAAAATGATTTATTATTTGCATATTCCTAACAATAGCGGTAAATTAACTGATATGTATTTGATCAACTGATGTAAGTTAAACCGATGAGTATCGAACGAGTGTTCTTTTCAGGCAAAAATTAAGTTTATAATAAAATAGTAACGCTGTCACAATGCGTAAATGTGATCGTTACGAAAATTTAGGAACAAGAACAATGTGAAATAATGCCCCAAAAAAGTCGAAGCCATTAAAATCACGGAATGAGACTATTTAACATAATCATAAAATCAATAAAATAAACAAGATGATCTAACAAATATAGCCATTCTGCACACATAGGCAGATCTAAGGGCAATTCTAATTGTTTGCCGATTGTAAATGTTAAATGAAATGTTCTTATCAGAGCGCAAGAAATCAGGAAAGTAATTTCTACCATTTAATATATTTGATAAAAACATTGAAAAAGGAATAAACAATTTGCATTTTCTCTACGAACTGTCTTATGAAAGTTTCTCGGTTTTTTTACTTATATAAGAGAAGAAATCATTCATATCAATCTTGCGTGGATTACGTGTTACTCTCCCTTTAACCATGAAATTTCTACCAATAAAAATACATATTTTCCATTGAGTTTAAATGTTAGAATCTCAAAACAATAAATGTTTAACCCTCGAACCAGTGATGTATTAACAAATAATGAAATTGAATACTAACGTTTTAAGGTTATCTTGCATATTATTCAGTGATACCTAAATTATAATAGTGCTGCAGAAACATGCCTATTATATTTTATTAAGAACGTAACTTGGATTTCAAAGTATTTGCCACAGGTCATGTCATATTCAGGATTGAAGATGTTGACTCCTTGAACCAAACGTGTTGTCTTTAAAGAATAAAAAGAATGCACGGGAATAATTAAAAGAATACACATGACTATTTAAAGTAATACATGTGATTATTTAAAGTAATACACGTGACTATTTAGAGTAATACACGTGATTAATAAAAGGAATCACGTGACTATTTAATTATCTCATACCTTTTTGTAACAACAGAGATTTCCATCATTACCTCCATTATGTCCATAGCAGTTCACACTACCAGCCGTGTCAGAACACCATAACCGCGTACAAATAGTAGAAAATCACCACCATACACGTGACTATTTAAAGTAATACACGTGATTATTTAAAGTAATAAACGTGACTATTTAAAGGAATACACGTGACTATTCAAAGTAATACACGTGATTATTTAAAGGAATACACGTGACTATTTAAAGTAAAACACGCGATTATTTAATTATCTCATACCTTTTTGTTACCACAGAGAGTTCCATCATCACCTCCATTATGTCCATAGCAGTTCACACTACCAGCCGTGTCAGAACACCATAACCGCGTACATATAGTAGAAAAATCACCACCATAGGGGTCCTGAAAATATTAATGGAATGACTTATATTTTTCTATCTATGAAGAAATATTATAAAAAAAATTATGGTGCAGACTGAATAAGACGGGTAACTTTTACTAGATAAATTTTACAGCAATATTCAAAATATCCAAATATCACGAAATTTTTTCAACAAAACCTGACCTAAATGTGCTGGATTCTGAGTAATGTTTACAGTGATTCCTCAAGAATGCGGTATGTGTGCTCGAAAAAACCCACAACTCAAGATAAATAGATATACATGTATAGATTATTATAATATAGCCAAAGTTCGCTGCTACTTATTCAATATTCCGCATTGGGTACACATTATCATATATATATATATCAAGACCCACCCTGCATAAATGTGACCCTGTACCACGTTTTTGCACACACTGCTGATCAGCATCTATTGTAGGCTGAACTGTTGTAGTTGTTGCTAATGTTGTTGTCGTAGGAGTAGTTGTTGTCACAGAAGGAGTAGTTGTTGTCGTATTAGAATCAGTTATTGTCGTAGTCACAGTAGTTGTGGATGTTGTCGTTGTAGGTGCACAAGAGGCACAGCATGCAGTTGTACTTGAACAATAACTTGGTGCATTCCTAACCATATCTTCACAAGTCCAACCATTACCAAAAATAACACCTCTTTTATCTCCATAAAGACAGGTTTCTAAAATTGAAAACAATATACCAAATAGAACTAATAAAGACAATTCATTTGATGAGAAACAACTGAAAAAATATTAGATTATCAATTTGCAAAAACTAGGGTAAATTTCTTTTATATTTTACCAACTATTTTAAGCACATCATATAATAGTTGTGGTGACATTATAGATTTCGACTGTTTTTTCCCAAATCTAAAATATATATGCAAAACCGAATTGATTGCATTATGATACCGAATTATGTGAAATATTCTAGAAAAGTTTAAAATTTCATCAATTGACAAGGTGCTTTAGCAGAACGACTAAATTGGCAAAGTCCATAAAACAATGAATTTCTGAATGTTTTAGGATTATCAACTTTTTCAGTTCCATTTTATAATTTATCAGTCGTAAATTAAATGAATAATGGATCATTGGTTCCGAAGAACAGTCCTCAAGGATGATGGTTCCATATGGGACTTATAGGTCATTGTTAGAAGTTTAAGTGAGCCACTTAAATCATACCATATATCATAACTATGATTCATATAAATCATCGTTATTTTTCGAAAACATAGGGAAAGAAATTATGATTACACAAGTAGACAAACAACGACAGAAATTATTTTACATCTCACAAGGCCGTACATTGATCTGGTGGAGAGTTGGCAATCATACCAGAGCTTTTTATTTTAATATATATATTGAAATTTTAGGGAGAAAAAAAAACGTTTAAAAATATAAATATGCAATCAAATTTCTCAAAATAAGCTGGGAAAGTATAGAATTAATCTGCACTCACCATCTCCCGCAGGAGCATTTGAATCTGACGTACATACACCAGATATACACCACTGTAAAGAAATAAGCCATATTTATTATATGTTCAAATACTGTTATACTTTTGATCCCTTCCGGTTATATCAGCTCTTTAAAGTGTATGATGTATTCATATACATTATCAAATAGATTGGCCCAAAACATCACAGAAGAGATAACAATTGTCGCAATGTATATCACAGAAATGTTGGTATAGTTTAAAGTTAACACACGCCAAAGTAAGAAAAATTATTTAATATTTGCATATTTCTAACAATAGCGGTAAATTAACTGATATGTATTTGATCAACTGATGTAAGTTAAACCGATGAGTATCGAACGAGTGTTCTTTTCAGGCAAAAATTAAGTTGATAATTAAAAAAAGTAACGCTGTCACAATGCGTAAATGTGATCGTTACGAAAACTCAGGAACAAGGGCAATGTGAAATAATACACCAAAAAAAAGTCGAAGCCATTAAAATCACGGAATTAGACTATTAAGCATAATCATAATATCAATACAATAAACAAGATGATCTAACAAATATAGCCATTCTGCCCACATAGGGAGACCTAAGGGCAATTCTAATTGTTTGCCGATTGTAAATGTTAAATGAAATGTTCTTATCAGATTATCAGACCGCAAGAAATCAGGAAATTAATTTCTACCATTTAATATATTTGATAAAAACATTGAAAACGGTATAAACAATTTACATTTTCTCTACGAACTGTCTTATGAAAGTTTCTCGTTTGTTTACTAATATAAGAGAAGTAATCATTCATATCAATCTTGCGTGGATTGCGTGTTACTCTCCCTTTAACCATGAAATTTCTACCAATAGAAATACATATTTTCCATTGAGTCCAAATTTTAGAATCTTAAAACAATAAATGTTTAACCCTCGAACCAACGATGTATTTACAAATAATTAAAATTGATACTAACGTTTTAAGGTTACCTAGCATATTATTCAGTGATACCTAAAGTATAATTATGCTGAAGAAACATTGCTTATTATACTTTATTTAGAACGTAACTTGGATTTCAATGTATTTGCCACAGGTCATGTCATATTCAGTATTGAAGATGTTGACTTCTTGAACCAAACGTGTCGTCTGTACAGAATAAAAGGAATGCACTGGAATATTTAAAAGAATACACATGACTATTTAAAGTAATACACGGGATTATTTAAAGTAATACACGTGACTATTTAAAGTAATACACGTGATTAGTAAAAGGAATCACGTGAGTATTTAATTATCTCATACCTTTTTGTTACCACAGAGAGTTCCATCATTACCTCCATTATGTCCATAGCAGTTCACACTACCAGCCGTGTCAGAACACCATAACCGCGTACAAATAGTAGAAAAATCACCACCATAGGGGTCCTGAAAATGTTAATAAAATGACTTATATTTTTCTATCTATGAAGAAATATTATAAAAAAATATGGTGCAGACTGAATAACACGGGTAACTTTCACTAGATAAATTTTACAGCAATATTCAAAATATCCAAATATCACGATTTTTTTTAACAAAAACATGACCTAAATGTGCTGAAACTTGAGTTATGTTTACAGTGATTCCTCAAGAATGCAGTATTTGGCTCGAAAAAAAATGTATGATTATTATTATATAACCAACGTTCGCTGCTACTCATTAGATATTCCGCCTTGGGTACACATAAACATATATATATATATATATAATTTCATGTAACGATCAAGCGCCCTCGTGGAAAAAATCGTTGACTATATATATACAAGTCTAAATCTAAACAACGTTCAAACCTATGATTGCGTTGGATAAAAACCGCAATTTTTATACGTGTGCATGTAACAAATTTCGTTGTAGAGGGGTCTAAATACAGCACAAACAACATTTTCCAAAAAGACCAAAAGAGTGAAAAAAAATATTATAACAAAACGCATTTGACTAGGAGGTCGAACAACTGATGTTTTTAAACCCTGCTGACTGCCATTGTCAATTGCAAAATAAATTGATCACAAGGTGTAACAAATCGGATATTTATATTAATTTAATAGGAAGTAGAAACAAATTAATTTGCGACAATATGGTACACCACAACAAAAGGTGCCAAATTTTTTACACCGTATCCGGATTTCGACAATTAATGTCTCTTCAGTCATGTTAGGGATCGAAAAGTATTTGTAAGGCCATTTAATTTACCTCAATTTAGGATAGACTCTTGAATTTTAAAGAGTCAAAATAGGATGAACGGATTATATAAACCGGAGGGAAAATATAATACAAGTCGAATGAAATAAATATAAACAATTCTAAATTGAAAACAACGTTCAAACCTATGATTGCGTTGGATAAAAACCGCAATTTTTATACGTGTGCATGTAACAAATTTCGTTGTAAAGGGATCTATATACAGCACAAACAACATTTTCTAAAAGACTAAAAGAGTGAAAACATATATTATAACAAAACGCATTTGACTAGCAGGTCGAACAACTGATGTTCTTAAACCCTGCTGACTGCTATTGGCGATTGCCAAATAAATTGATCACAAGGTGCAACAAAATGGATCTCTATATTAATTTAATACGAAGTAGAAAACAATAAATTTGCGGCAAAGATGGCAAACCATAACAAAAGGTGCTAATATTTTACACCATATCCGGATTTCGAGTCTATATATATATCAAGACTCACCCTGCACAAATATGACTCTGTACCACGTTTTTGTACACACTGCTGATCAGCATCTGTTGTAGGCTGAACTGTTGACGTTGGAAGTGCACAAGAAGCACAGCACGCAGTCTTTACACTTGCACAATAACCTGGTGCTTCCCTTACCATATCTTCGCAAGTCCAACCGTTGCCAAATATTATACCTTTGCGATCTCCATAAAGACAGGTCTCTTAAATTGCAAAAATGTATAAAGAAAACTCATTTGAGGAGCAACAGCTGAACAAGTACATTTATATATATAATCAATTTGGGAAAACTACAGTAAAATTCCTTTTATATTGTACCAATTATTTTAACATATTCTAATATGTGGTTTTTTAACATATTCTAATATGTGGTTTTTTAACATATCCTAATATGTGGTAAAGCTATAGATTTCGACTGTTTTTTCCTAAAACTAAAATATGTATAAAACTTCTTTGCATTAAATTATGATACCGATTGATGTGAAACGTTTAAAATTTCACAAATATACAATGTGTTCAAGCATAACGACTAAATTTGAGAAGTCCATAAAAAAACGAACTTCTGTTAGTTTGAGGAGTTTCAACTTTTTCAGTTCCATTTTATTATTTATCAATCGTAACTCAAAAGAATATATCGTAGCTGGACTTTAAAATGTCGAATATGAATTTTTTGGCTAAAACTACTTTTTTTACAAAAATTGTCTTGGCGGGAGGAAATCTTTGATAATCTAAGATAGCATACAGTTAAACCAAACAAAACGGTTGAAATAAGACATGTTACAAAATTGCCAATCTCAGCTGTTTGTAAATTTTGCTTCAAAAATGTTGTATGTAAACTTGAAATTTGTTGTATAATGGCTTTGGGAATCAAATACTTGTTCATTTCTTTATTTCCGTTAAAATAAATAAAGTTTTTATTTCACTGCCATTTACAAAAATGTTCAAGTTCACATACGACATTTTGGAAACATGCATTTCGACCAAATTTTCAAAGCCTGTTTGTGAGATTTTTTTGTTTGAAAAATTTGTAATTGACAACATTTTGGAAGCCCAGCGACGATATGGACCATTGCGTCCGAAAAACAGTCGTCAATGCTGATGGTTCCACAGGACTTGTAGGACACTGTAAAAAGTTAAAGTGAGCCACAGAAGAAATTTTACATCTCACCAAACTTCAAGGCCGTACATTGACCTATATTTATTCTATATCATGTGCCCTCTGTTGAAAAGTTAACAATCATACCACATCTTTTTATTTTTATATACATTAAAAGTTTAGGACAAAAAAACGTTTGAAAAATATTACATTTCTCAAAATGTGCTTAGAAAGCATAGAAATAAACTGCACGTACCGTCTTCCGCAGGAGGAGCATTTGAATCTGAGGTACATACACCAGATATACACCACTGGAAAGAAATATGTCATATTTATGATGTGTTTGAATACTGTTTTGTTATACTTTTGGTCCTTTGCGGTTATATGAGCTCTTTAAAGTGTGTATTATGTTTTGGATTTTTAAATAGTTTGGCCTAAATATCACAGAAGAGACATTTTTTGTCGAAATGCATATCACTGAAATGTTGGTACAGTTTAAAGTTAACACAGGCCAAATTAAAAAAAATGATAAAGATCTATAAAAGTCGAAGCCATTGAAATCACTGAATTAGACCATTAAACATAATCATAACATCAACTAGAATAAACAAGATGATCTATAAATATAGCTATTCTGCACACATAGGGAGATCTAAGGACATTGTCCATTTGTTTGATGTGTTTTATCATTTGATTTTGCCATTTGATTAGGGACTTTCTGATTCGAATTTTCATTGGAGTTCAGTATTATTGTTATTAACTGTTTTCCGATTGTTAATGTAAAATGTAATGTTTTTTTTTTATCAGAGCGCAAGATATCCGAACTTTAATTTCTACCATTTAATATATATAATAAAAACATCGAAAAGGTAACCATTTGCATTTTGTTCGAGAACTGTCTTATGAAAGTTGCTCTTTTTTCCCCTAATACTGTGGATTGATCTATTTTCGAGGGTTTTAATTTTCGTGAATGGTTGCAGTTTCGTTGATATTCGATATTGTGGTTTTGCAAATCATTGAACACTTAGCCTATATAAAATTTGTAATTCGTTGAACATTTTAATTTGTGGTTCAAATGTACATAGTTATCAAAGGTAGCAGGATTATAATTTAATACGCCAGACGCGCGTTTCGTCTACATAAGACTCATCAGTAACGGTCAGATCAAAAAAGTTATAAATCCAAAAAAGTACAAAGTTGACAAACATTGAGGACCCAAAATTCCAAAAAAGTTGTGCCAAATACGGCTAAGGTAATCTATTCCTGGGATAAGAAAATCCTTTGTTTTTCGAAAAATTCCGAGTTTTGTAACAGGAAATTTATAAAAATGACCATATAATTGATATTAATGTCAACACCGAAGTGCTGACTACTGGGCTGTTGATACCCTCGGGGACGAAACGTCCACCGGCAGTGGCATAGACCCTGCGGTGTAAATAGTTATCAAAGGTACCAGGATTATAATTTAATACGCCAGACGCACGTTTCGTCTTTATAAAACTCTTTAACCCACGAAATCCATGAAAATTGTTATCCAACGAAAAATAATGAATCCACAGTATGACATAAGTCATCATTTATGTCAATCTGAATGGATTGCCTTTTACTCTCCTTCTACCAATAAATATACATAATTTCCATTGAGTCTAAATGTTGGAATCTTAAAAAAATTATAACCCTCGAACCAACGCTGTAATTACAAATAATGAAAATTAGATACTAACGTCTTAAGGTTATCTTGCATATCATGTGGTGATACCTAAAAGAGGGGCGAAAGAAAAATCATAATTGTGCTGAAGAAAAATTGCCTATTATACTTTATTATGACCGTAACTTGGATTTCAATGTATTTACTAAAGGTCATGTCATATGTGGGGCAGGATCTGCTTACAATTCTAGAGCATCTGAGATCATCCCCTGTTTTGGTGGGGATCGTGTTGCTTATTCTTTAGTTTTCTATGGTATTTCTTGTGTATTATTATTTGTCTGTTTGTCTATATTTTTTAGCAATGGCGTTGTCACTTTATTTTCGATATTTGAATTTGAATGTCCCTCTGGTATCTTTTGCCCCTCTTTCATACTCAAGATTGAAAATTTTGACCTCTCGAACCAAATCGTGTTGTCTGTACAGAATAAAGGAAATCCACCATGTACACGTGACTATTTAAAAGTATACACGTGACTATTCACGGGGGATACACGTGACTACTTAATTAGCTCATACCTTTTTGTTACCACAGTGCGTGCCATCACCTCCTATATTACTATTACAATTTGCACTACCAGCCGGGTCAGTACACCATAATACCGTACAAATAGTAGAAAAATCACCATAATAGAGTCCCTGAAAATAATAATGGAATGACTTATATTTTTCTATCTATGAAGAAATTTTATACAAAAATATGGTGCAGACTGAGGAATACGGGTAGCGGGTTATTTAAAAGTGTGCACTACTATATTTCGAATAGACAGAAACAATATAACAGTCATTACTTAGAATTTTATTCTAAATTCTATTTGAAAGGAATACATTTTGAAAAGAAAACGTTGTTGACGTTACGATCACATGACAAAATTATGTATATTTACTGATCGACAAAATCCTTTCAGCCAATCAGATGACGTGTTACATCAAACAATAAGTTATTGTTTTTTAACCTTGTTTTTCCAACCTTTTACAACCCTAACAATCAAAATACAAATTACCATATCATATATTTATAAATCCAGTTTCTGATGTTTTATAATTGTATATAACAGTCTCAAATAGATCTTCTACTAAGAATGGCACATGGCACATGCATTCTCAATTGTATATTGTGTATTAAATTTCATCTTGTGTTTATACTTGAATGTATGTAGTGAGACTATAATAAACTATTGCCTCTTGAATCTTGAATTAAAGTGTTTATAAAAATGTAAGTATATATCATCCCCAGTCAAATATATAGAGTTCTCTTTTTTCAGTTTTTCTTAAAAAAAATGTTTTTTCTGGAGATCAGATTATTTTAAACTAGTATGGTGATATTAAAGTTAAGGTAAAGTTTAGAATTTTAGCTCATTTAAATGTTTTGAAATTGAGTGTAACGTCCGTTTTCACTTAACTGTCACACATTTTAGTTAATGGTCCAGCTGAAGCCCGCCTCTCGGTGAATATTTTCTCGTTGAATGGAAGAAACATTGGTGGCCTTCGACATTTGTTTTCTTTGTTTGAGTAGTGGTTCCTTTGACACATTCCATTCTCAATTTTAATGTCCTCTACTTTATATGTTCTTTGATAGTTTATTTCATTCCCCACTTTTCAACAAAAAGTTTGAAATATGCTTGTCTGAGAACTAAACCATTGAGCCATAGTAAAAGAGAAGGGTCAATTCCTTAATAATAATATAGAATCGTGGCACATATCGTTCCAACCTACATTACAGAAAGATGATCCACTTCCACGTATCTGTGCACATTGTTCATCTGCTGAAAATACTTGTCCTGCTAGTTGCTGGTCATAAGGTGTTAGTCCTGTAGGGTCAAATCCTACACTTAATGTCTTCATACAATTATTCCCCACTCTGTAATATATACTCATGTTTATTCATTGTAGACATTGAAATCATAAGAAATAGCTTCGAGGTTTGATTTAATAAAATTATTTTTGGGTGTGTGTCAATAGAATAATTTATAAGAGAAAAAAATACATTTCTCCCTAGTTTGAAAGTTCCATATTGAGGAAAGGTTTTCTTAGGTATTCCAACTTTGAAGTGAGTGATGCGACAATCTATAATATATTCAAACTTAAAAGTTATTTGTATTAAAGTTGCAGTTAAAATTACTTAAAAGCTGTCCTAAAACTATTGTTTAACAAAGTTATTCATAGCTACCTGTTTTCTTGTTTGATAAGATTATTTGTTATTTTAACAAAGGAAAATCCTTTATAAACCATAAAAAACTGATATAAAAAATTGAAAATGAAAAGTGTATCTAGAAGAAAAATCAAAACAAATATACAAAAATAAAGGAAGAATGTGACTGAGGACACGAATCCCCCTGTTCAAGCTTTGTGATTTTTCTAGTTAAAAAGGGGCATAACTCTAAAACGTTTAATAACCAACAGCCAAAATTTCGAACTTTGTCTTGCATTTTTGTTTTATGCATTGTGTATAGTTTATTAAAATTTGCATGCAGCAAACAATATTTAGAAAGGAGAAACGAATATGAGATGGACGCACAGACGGACAGTCAAGGTTATCACTTAATTCCCCTGCCTACGGCGATTGCATTGAACATTATATAAGACAAATAAAATAAAAAGTTGATTTAACTGAAAAAGACTACATTCATTGGGTTAATATGTAGTCTTCTTGTCCTTCTGTGTTTTAAAAATTTGGTAATGGTTGTTTTTGTTGGAAGATGTTTAACGTTGTTTGGAGAAAAATTTAATGAAAGACCGAATCGTAAGAAAAGCTGACATGCTGGTACAAAATGTGCATGTTGAAATAATTTTTTGTCTTAATGACAAAAATAATCGAATTACAAATAATTACTTACGAATCCAATGAATTAATGTAATTAGTAAAGTATGATGTAGAACATGATGAAAATATCCATGGGTGTGTAGCGGTAGCTGGTTTGGTCTGTGGACCGATCACAGACGCCATGATATAGGAATCACTACCACTACAGCCATTTCCGTCGCCGTCATGTTGTGAACTTAAACTGTAATACACAAAAAAACATGTAAAATTGTTTGGAGTTAAAGCGGGAACTCAAAACAGAAGGAATTCACATCTATCACATAAAAAATAATTTTAGACATAACAATCGCTGAGTAATGAAATCAAAGCACTATAAGCGCTATGGGCAGTTAAACAAAATTAATGATGAAAACTGTAGAAGAGTTCTTTTAATTGTTTATCACAGCTATATATCAGATTTTGTTTGTACATGTACTGCACTGATTTCCACTATCCTTCTCTACCAATAAACCATTTGTTTTCAAACGTTTGTTTTTCATCATTAAATTACTGTGAATTCATTAACATTCGTCGGATACCAATTTTCGTGGATTTCCTGGGTTCTGGGAACCCAAGAATTTAAATGTTCAACAAATAACAAATTTTCTTAAAGAATGTTTGCAGACTTGGCAAAAACAACGAAATTAAATATCCACGAAAATGAAACTTTTCCTCAATCCACGAAAATAAATGAACACACAGTACTTCAAAATATGTATCCTTTTGAGAATTGATTCAATGTTTGAGAAGATGAATGTACACCGTCCAAGATTAGGAGAAGGTTTGACCTCAGTAAACATGTTTAACTCTGTCCATTCTGTATGTGCCTGTCCCAAGTCTGTTATTCAGAGGTTGTCGTTTGTTGCTGCATATCATATTAGTTTTTCCTTATTGTTTTGTACAAAATAGTTTTAAATACGCTACCAGTGATATCAGATTAAACCATTCAGTTTGTAATACAGCAAGAATGTTTCTAGTTTTTTTACTATCAGATAATCTGTGGTCACTTAATATCGTGCCTTACTATATTTTCGTCTAAATTTGAACTACATTTATTTATTTATTTATTCATTTCTATTTTCAATGTATGAAACACAAGGTGTATCACATCATGACAGTGCATCATAAGCCTATTCGTTGTTTTTTCTTTCTTTTTTGCCATGGCATTTTTAGTTTGTTTTTTGACTCTTGAATCTGGATATCCCTTTGATATCGTATTTTTCTCTTTTGTCGTAGTTTATAACCAACATAAATAAACACATATAGACTTTTTCGAATCTTTTACAATTGAGTTCTGCATTGGGAACATGTTTCAACATAGTGACATAGACACGAGAAATGGAGACTACAAGGAAGAATTTCAGCCAATCAAAAGACGTGTTATATCCTAAATTAGATTATTATATATTACCAATGTCCCAATTCGTGTGCTGCAACTGATATGATAAGGAAGCTGAATCTATCTTCTACAATTGATTGACTAATGCTAGTACAAACTTGGCTTAAATATGCAAGTCCTGTAAAATAATAAATGTAAATGTTATTTTAGGTTCGTCTGATATAAGGGAGTTGAAACAGATATATCATGTTCAGTATATTATACCATTCTAGCGAAGTAAAATTGTGTGAGCCTCAACATTGCTCAAGTTGAAGAAAATTTCTTCTCAAGACATTATAATACGTAAACACCCCCTGGACATGTTGTTAGACGCGTTGAACAAAGACAGCAGCATTTAATATAGTGCATCGACGATCAAATGTATCCATGAAGTGTACTCAAAATTATATTAATTTTTAGAGATCTACCTGTGACGTCACTTTTGTGCGTTGATACAGTCATGTGACGGACATTTCGTGGTTTTGTTGTGCTGTTTTTGTGTGCTGTCCTATATCATTTTACGTGCTCGTTATTATACTGTGGCTAGCATGTCGAAATATACTATTGTATTATTTATTTGTTTATTTCTCTGTCCTGAATGTTTATGCATATATTTGTACTGTATTCCTGTCATGTAATATTGTCATTTTAGTGGTTTATTTAACATTGCCATAAAGGCGCGAGGTTTGGCTTGCCACAAAACCAGGTTCAACCCACCATTATTTCTTAAAATGTCCTGGACCAAGTCAGGAAAATGGCAGTTGTTATCTTATAGTTCGTTTCTGTGTGTGTTGCATTGTCGTTTGGTTTTTGTTGCACTTCAGTGTTTCTGTTGATTCGTTGTTTTCCTTTTATAGTTGATGTTTTTCTCTCGGTTTTAGTTTGTAACTCGGATTTGTTTTCTCTCAATCGATTTATGACTTTTGAACAGCGGTATACTACTGCTGCCTTTATATATTTCAACTAATCAAAATCTGGGATACTTAAGAAGATGAAATTAATACAAGACTGTAATCATAACACAACAACTGTATACCATGCATGATGTCAACGTATGAATACATGTAAGTACTGTACCATGTATAAAGATAAAACAAAATGTTGGATATAGGCCATTACTATGAAGATAGTACACATAAAATAAGGCAAGACTTGTCATACAAGGCGAGTTCAATCAAATATCACCTGTTAAGTATGACCAAATCTATTTGATACGAGCAATATATCAGGATTAATTTTGATCGAAGAATTTCATACAGGTTAAAATCCAACGTTTATATTTACCTTATACCACATGCCTTGATAGTGGTTTCCTGCTATTTATGAAGCTATTAAACCATAAGTTCCGAATGGAAAAGTTGAAATCATCCCTTCGTTAATTTTACCGATGCCATCACTAGTTGTGATAGTTATTGAATATCCGTTTTACGGATGATAGCGGATTTGTTTCCTATGTCGTAACTACAATCCCGTCCCCTTTTGACGAATGTGATCTACCAAATTATACTTGTTACTGGGAATGTAGTGACATAAGCAACACGACTGTTGCCACATTTGAAGAAGGATCTGCTTACCCTTCCGGTTCACATGAGATCAATTCCAGTGTTGGTAGGGTTCTTGTTGTTAAGTCTGTTTATCTTTTTTTCTTTTTTAGACGTGGCGTTGTATGCTTATTTCGATTTATGAGTTTGAATATCCCTATGGTATCTTTTCCCCTTTTTTAATATCTTATCTAAATACACTTCACTTATGAGGCCTTTTTTGTGATTGGTTGATATCCAGTCTATCTTTATTTTAAATTTGATGGAATATCGTTTTTTTCTTCGTTACTGCTGGATAATATAATTTATAATTTACGTATGCCTTTTTTATCATTCGCGTAGATGCTTTATCATGTATGCATTTTATCAAATATATGTACACTATGTTATTACTTTGCTTTTTTACTAACGTCTTGATACCAAAAAAAATAATATACTTATATCAAATGTTTTAACCTAACCATTCCTATTTGATGTTACTTGTGAAAAAAAATACATGGAAAATGGAACGGCTTTTAACCTATCAAAATTGGGGTTAATTAACAAGGTGAAATTAAATAAATAAATTATGTCTTCGTTTCGTTGGGTTTAACAATATTATCTAACACCAGAAACTTTTTATTTGTTCTTATATGAGTGTATGTAGTTATTTCAATTTCTTATTAATTATATTACGTTTACCTGCAATTCCTATTGATCCACTCAATCTCAAATCGTACCTATAAATTAGATAAAATAATAAATGATTTAACACATGGTGGCACTTCCGTTCAATATTCTTTAACATGTGTAACTTCCTATACAATTTTTATCTATTCTTTAACAGTTTTAACACTGATGAGACGACGGAGAACCACAGCCAGGAAGCACACCACAGTACTGAGGACCTCTTACCTAATGAAGCTACTCAGATCAACATTGAGGAGGAGCAATGGAATCAAAACCAGCAGAAAACATCAACAGTACCTTCAACAGACAGCAGGAAAGAAAAGATACAATGGCCACCAACAGATGATGGGAGATGGGAGATCTTTGATGAAGACCTAGACAAGATCTTAGATAACACACTAACTGGAGATGTACGGAGAAAGATATCATCATTGTCAACATTTATATATGCAGTAGGACAAGAACGATTTGGAGTTAGTAACACCAAAACCAGAGAAGGCACTCAGGGAAACACTAAACATAACAGACGTCAACAAGAAATACAAACACTCAGAACCGAAATAAATGATGTCACAAAGCAGTATAGAAGAGCAAACGAGGAGGAAAAAGAAGGGCTGAATGAGCTAAGATCAATACTGAGGGAGAGAAAAAACAATCTACAAAGAGCAGAAAGGATCAGGAAATCAAGGAGAGAAAGAGGGAAGAAGAGAGCAATGTTTGTTGCCAATCCCTACAAGTTCACCAAAGCAACACTGGATGGAACAAAGGCGGGATCAGTAAAAAGCACAAAAGAGGAAGTAGAAAAACATCTATCAGAGACACACAGTGACGAAAGGCAGTGGGAACATCTAGAAAACTGCGAAAGGATAGAAAATGTACCAGAACCTGAATACCAATGAACATTAAGGAACCATCATGGAAAGAAGTGTCTGATGTAGTGAAGAAAGCTAGGTCTGCATCATCACCAGGACCAAATTGCATCCCGTACAAGGTATATAAGAAGTGTCCAAAGATTTGGAAACACCTGTGGAGGCTACTGAAAGTGGTGTGGAGGAAAGGGAAGATACCATCATGTTGGCAGAAAGCAGAGGGGTGTTTTATTCCAAAAGAAGAAAAATCAGAAGACATCACACAATTCCGGACAATTTCCCTCCTAAATGTAGAAGGAAAGATCTTTTTCTCTATCATGGCTAGAAGGATGGCATCATATATGACAGATAACAACTATGTAGACACTTCAGTACAGAAGGGCGGAGTACCAGGATTCCTAGGATGCATTGAACATACAAGCATCATTTCACAACTAATTCAAGAGGCCAAAGTAAACAAGAAAGATCTTACAGTAGTATGGTTAGATTTGGCCAATGCATATGGTACTGTTATATGCTGATACAGCAGTCACTAGATCATTACCATATTCCCGACCACTTTAAGAGTGTAATAAGAAGTTATCTCAGTGGGATTGAGCTGCGGTTTACAACAAGCACATTTACAACAACATGGCAGAAACTACAAAAAGGAATAGTTACTGGATGTACCATCTCAGTTATCTTGTTTGTCATGGGAATGAATATGATTATTAAATCTGGAGAGAGAGAAACTAGAGGCCCAAAAACATCAACTGATATTAGGCAACCACCAAATAGAGGGTTCATGGACGATTTAACCATCACTACAGATACCCATGTCCAGGCTAGATGGGTGTTAAAGGCCTTGGAAGAGACAGTAACATGGGCAAGGATGGCTTTCAAGCCAAAGAAGTCTAGAGCTCTAATCATAAGAAAAGGGAAGAGCACACACCAAGTTGAACTGAAGGTGCAAGAAGAAGTCATTCCATCAATAATTGACAATCCCATCAAGTGCTTAGGCAAGTGGTATGATGACTCTTTAAGTGACAAAAACAATATCAGGAGAATCGAACAACAGGTTTCAGAGGGAATGAGGAACATTGACAAGACAGGTCTACCAGGGAAATTAAAGGCATGAATATACCAACATGGACTCCTGCCAAGGATATCATGGCCACTTATGTTGTACGAAATTACATTGACAACAGTTGAGAAGCTTGAAAGAACCATCAACAGACACCTTAGGAAGTGGTTAGGTGTCCCTCCAAGTTTTACAACTGTAGGACTGTACAGCAGGACCGCTAAGTTGCAGCTACCATTAACATCTATAGTGGAAGAATTCAAAGTTAGCAAAACTCGCCTTGTGATGACACTGAAAGAATCTAGAGATGACAAAGTAAGAACAGCAGGTGTCCAAGTAAGAACAGAACGAAAGTGGTCAGCCTCCAAAGCAGTTTCAGAGGCAGAGAGTAGATTGAGGCATAAAGATATCGTAGGAACAGTGGCAGTAGGACGACAGGGCCTTGGTACATCAAAAGCTTGCTACTGGAAGAACGCTAACACCCAAGAAAGACGAAGTGTAGTCCAAAGAGAGATAAAATCTAGAGAAGAAGAAAACAGACAAGCAAAGACAGTAGAATTAGGGAGCCAAGGCGCTTGGTCGAGATGGGAATTAGAACAACGATCCCTTACATGGTCAGAAATATGGCGATATCCTCAATACCATGGCGATATCCTCAATACCAACTACAGTTCCTTCTAAGATCAGTGTATGATGTGTTACCAACACCTACAAATCTGCACAGGTGGAAACTTTCAGAAACACCAGATTGTCCCTTGTGCGGAAACAGAGGAACTTTACAACATGTACTTTCAGGGTGCAATATCGCTCTTACACAGGGGAGATATACATGGCGACACAACCAAGTACTCCGGGAACTTGCTGAAGTTATAGAGAAACAGAGGAAAGATGCAGAACATATTAGAAACAAACCTATCAAGATCCAGTTTGTGAAGGAGGGAGAAGTAGGCCAGAAAAGTAAAAAGAATATATCAGGAATGCTAAATCAGGCGAGAGATTGGCAGTTAGAAGTAGATCTAGGAAAGAAGATGCAATTTCCTGATATTGTACCTACTAACCTGAGACCAGACATGGTTCTCTGGTCCACCAGCAGTACAAAAGTGGTAATTATAGAGTTGACGGTTCCCTGGGAGGAGAGATGTGGCGAAGCCAATGAAAGAAAGAGGGCAAAATATGATGGACTATTGGCAGAGTGCAGATATAGAGGATGGCAGACATGGAACTTTCCTGTTGAGGTTGGCTGCAGAGGCTTCCCTGCACAGTCAGTGTGGAGGATGTTTTCTGCAGTTGGAGTGACTGGCCAGAATAGAAGAGCATCAATTCAGAAACTGGACCAAGCAGCAGAGAAAGCGTCTTGCTGGATATGGATGAAGAGAGACAGTAGTAGCTGGAAACCCACCACCAATGCGCAGTGATTGATCACCACTGTGGACCCCCATCCTGAGAGTGTACCGAGCTAGGGGTCGAAACACATGATGACGGATGGCCTCGGCTGAGGACATTGATGGTGTTTGCAGTAATTCCACCAGTACTGTATGTAAGTAAATATTTATTTTTAAGTTTGTTCTCTCTCCTTTATATTTTATCACCCTTTTATCATCTATTCTTTACATTTTTGCCTTTATTCAGCACTTTTTTACTAATATTCTCTATTCTATTTACCCCATCAAGACCTTCATATATTTTGACCACGTGATTCTTGGTTAGTACTAATCAAGAAAATATTGGTGCAACAGACACACATATCTGTAATCAAACATAAAACAGTCAAGAGGGTCTTGATATGATCCTTTATTTTCTTTATTGTCTAATCTATTATACATTTGATTTTGTGTTTTTGACTTACTTTACCCGCCCTTTTGTTCTCTATTCTTTACATTTTTTGGCCTTTATTCTGCACTTCTTGCTCATTATTCTTTATTATATTTAACCTCATCAAGACTTTCATATGATTTGACCAAACGATTCTTGGTCATTACTGATAATCTTCCTTCAACAGACACATCATCATTTAATTTTACATGAAACGGCCAAAAGGGTCTGGATGGGGGTCTTTCTATTCTTATCCTCAAATTTTTAGACCATTTTTCTCAATTTTTTTTTTATCATTTGGTTCATTATTCTCAAACTTTCATATTCTAGTTCCTCATTATTCTCTTTTCATTATTTTTCTCTACGGTTTTGGGCACCTTATACAGCTCTTTATGTCCATTATCTTCTATTCTGTAAACCTTATCAAGATCCTAACAAAACAGCCAAGAGAACAGAAATAATAAATCTTTTATACAAATGAAACAGAAAATGTCTGATGTTGTTTCAGGGTTTCGTTTGTAAATGTTTCAAATGGTAAGTGAAACAATAAACAATGTTAGACAAAAAGTTGCAGACTATTCTAAATTTTCAAAGATAAATGTCAAATTACCATGTTAAAATGTTGAAAAAGCCAAAAATGAAACTTCATATTATATATATGGCGGGCAGTGTTTGTCAAACAACTTAATATAATAACATATCATTCAGAGGCGGATTTAGGCGGCCCTTATAGGACTACATATATGGTTAATGCATAGACGTTTCACAAGTCTTACTCCAAACACTGACTAGTTTGACCCACATCCCCGTTTTTCAAAAGCCTAGATCAGAATATGTTACTAACCTCGTAAACAACATTGCGTGATCATGGCCTGGTAGACTAAATGGCGGGTTATTATTCCATGTCTGAAAGTTATGAAGAGCAGTTGATGCATCTACTCGGTTCGGTGTAAATGATGTGACTTTTATTGTTTCTGTCCATGCAGCATCTGATGGAGTCTGAAAATAAGTGTATAAATAGAAAATAGTACATGGCAAAATCCGTATCACATGCCGTATCATTCCGAGATACCAATATCAGCCCGAGGGCCTTTAGTAATGTTGAACTATATAAAACACCTTCTGATTAAAACCTTTTAATAAAAAAAATACTTCGGATTCACTTATTTTCGTTGGTACCAATTTTCGTGGATTGAGGAAAAATTACATGTTCGTGGATATTTAATTTCGTGGTTTTGCTGAAGTTTGCATACAATCCTATAGGAAATTTGTCATTCGTTGAACATTTAATTTCGTTGTTCATCTTTACCCACGAAATCCACGAAAATTGGTATCCAACGAATAATACTGAATCGACAGTAGTAACAATAAACCAACAATTTATTAAAAAGTATACTGAAATAAACAAGGAACTTCTTTTAGACTGGTGAGTAAAATGTGCACTAAATATAAAAATTTAACAAACATCGGACTTCATGTTAATTTAGTCGGAATCACTACTGTCATAAATGACCCATTTTCGTTTTTTCTGAGTTTGTCGCTTCCAATTCTCTTTTTTTCCTCAACCGAATTTCCATAATTAATTTTGACATTCCCGTTCACAGTAGCACAATTCAGTATTGAAGGCACTGAATAATTCTTAAGCGTAATGCGACTCGTCTGCTGATCCGCAACTGTCTGAGAGACTCCATATAAAATACGAACGATAAATCGGAGTAGGATTGACATAGAGATCTGTGATAAAGGATAGACATGCGATTAAAAAGTAAAATCACAAAAATACTGAACTCCGAGGAAAATTCAAAACGGAAAGTCCCTAATCAAATGGCAAAATCAAAAGATAAAACACATCAAACGAATGGACAATAACTGTTGTAGAGATGTGTGATATCAGTCACGGTTGCAAAGGCGTTATTACACCTTTAATCTTTATGACGTTACGTCATCGACGTCATTCACTGTTGCAAAGGCTTTTGTTGCACTTTAGTGTTTATGTTGTTCCGTTGTTTCCTCTTATAGGTTGCACTTTGTAAATACAGCTGTTTCTCAAACCACGCCTCTTTTGGGGAGATATATAATATTCATAGATAATTAATTATCTTTACGTACTGGTTCCCAGACATGATCTCTATGTTTCATATCGTAGAGACATACATTAGGAATGTTACCAGTAAATAAGCATATGCATTTTAGTCTTATTGAAATCTATGGGAACCCTGAAGTCAAGATTTGGATAGTAAAGAATGTTAGTGTAAGTTCAAACTCTTAGAAATTCGGGGCATATAAATGTTGAAATTATGCCGCACAGCCCAATATTTTGACCTTTGACAAAATAGTAGTGCATATTCTAGGATACAATTTTTCTCAAAACTTCATAGTAAAAGTGGTACAGTTCTAGCCGCAAAAGGAGTTTCTATGGGAAATTGCATTGTAGATATTTACAGAAATACAACCTATAGTTTATGTGTTTCCCTCGGTTGTAGTTTGTAACCCGGATATGTTTTTTTCTCAATCGATTTATGACTTTTGAACAGCGGTATACTATTGCTGCCTTTATTTCGCATACCCCTATTCTGTATAATGTAATGTAACATACACATCTACGTGAGGTATATAATAAAGTGTATATGATATGGCTTTTTCAAATCACACATCGTATCAACCCTCTACCAATATAATTCATAGAGTAGAGCTCTTGGGATAATATGGATGTCTCAGCTGATACGGATGTACCTTGCAGTTCAGTATTTACTGCTTACCGTTCCAGAGCACCTGAGATCACCCCAAGTTTTTGGTGGGATTCGTGTTGCTTAGCTTTTTTTTCTATGTTGTGTTTTGTGTACTATTGTTTGTCTTTCTCTTTTTTAGCCATGACGTTGTCACTTTCTTATTCAATTAATTATTAGTTTAAATGTCCCTCTTGTATCTTTCGCCCATTCATTTATTCTTTCCATTGCGGCGAATCCCTACTCTTAAATAAATGAAACATACCTGTGCAATAACTATACCAGCATACACAATACCAATGGTGTATGATGATGTTTGTATATTTTTGAACATTCCATCCATCTGTAACAAATAAAGGCAATAGTAGTTTGAGAGCAAACAAATCCAGGTTAATAATAAATACACAATATACGTACATTACCAGAAAATATACAATTCAATGGTAAGATGTCTAAAATTTAAGTCGTGCTAAAGTTTCCTGTTTTATATTTATTCTCTGCATTTTCCAAAAAATAAAACTCACTGTTGAAAACATTTCTTGTCCGCATTCAGTAGGGCAAAATATTCTTTTCCTTCCTGTTTAGGATGTTTAGGACAAGATTTTATTTTCAGCTATAAACAAGCAAGATTAATACTGAATCTGCACCTGCAAATCATATTTTCTACTGAACCAGAGCCGTAAACGAATACTTTCTACTAAACCAGAGCCGGATATTGAACGCATACATAGCAAGATTTTGCTCGCAATGTAAGAATTTAGTAAATCATAGGAAGACGTTTCACGATTAATATCACTATAAATATTTGATCTTACTTTGACCTATTGGATGTCAAGTTCATTGGCATCAAGCTCATGACTATTCATAAGAAGCACGCTCCCTAGTGAAAAAGTAAAATCTTAAAAATACTGAACTCTGAGGAAAATTCAAAACAGAAAGTTCATAATCAAATGGTAAAATCAAAAGCTCAAACACATCAAACGAATGGATAACAACTATAACATTCCTGACTTGGTACAGGCATTTTGTTATGTAGAAAATGATGGATTAAACCTGGTTTTACAATGTTTTATAACTAACAAACATATCACTTGTATGACAGTTGCATCAAATTCCTTTATATTGACAACGATGCGTGAACAAAACAAACAGACATAATAGGTAAAAATGTTAAAAAAGGGGGTACAGCAGTCAACATTGTGTTATAATCTTAATCACTATAAAAACAAACAAATATTTAACAAAGAAGCACAAAAGGGCATATATCAAATTTAACAACCTCATTCATTGCTTACTTATTTTTGTATTTTATTTGATCTATTTAGCTAACTTAACCTTCCACTTGTATGACAGTTGCATCAAAATTCCATTATATTGACAACGATGTTGGGAACAAAACAAACAGACATAATAGGTAAAAATGTCAAAAGTAGGGATACAGCAGTCAACGTTGTGTTATTATCTTAATTACTATAAAACAAACAAATATGTAACAAAGAAGCCCAAAAAGGTATATAGACAAAACACATTAGCAAAAATGTCCGACAAGAATACAAAAGTCTACAATAGCACAATAACATAATGACGGGATGTAAAAGTACACAGAGCCATGCCATATGTATCAAAGAAACACAAAATGGCATATAGACAAAGCACATTAGCAAAAATGAAAGACAAGAACACAAAATTATCATAGAACAATAACAAAATGACTCTTTCAGAAATGAAATAACCAAAAAGCAATAGAATGTTAATATCACTTTTTATAAATTCTATTAATCCGAACAGGTGCCTTATCTCTTTTTTACTCCAACAAACAAGATTACTTCAGAGATACTTAGTCAGCTTTTACGTGTTTGATTCTTTTTTTTTCCTTACAAAATTCATATGAGCAAATCTCTTTTTCTCCTATAGTTTCACCTTTGTCCAGTAAAATTTACGTTCAACATGGGACAATTTATACGCTACATTTCTATTAGTATGAACATACTATAGTATATGCATGTATGTAATACTCACAATAGTAATGACAAAGGCATAGAACTGCCGTACTGATGTCAGAGCTTTTACAATGTATATCTATATGATACTTACACCAGTAATGACAAAGGCATAATACTGTCTAACTGATGTCAGAGCTTTTACAATGTATATCTATATGATACTTACACCAGTAATGACAAAGGCATAGTACAATATATATCTATAAAATACTTACACCAGTAATGACAAAGGCATAGTACAATGTGTATCTATATAATACTTACACCAGTAATGGCAAAGGCATAGTACTGCCTTACTGATGTCAGAGCTTTTACAATGTATATCTATATAATACTTACACCAGTAATGACAAATGCATAGTACTGTCTAACTGATGTCAGAGCTTTTACAATATATATCTATATAATACTTACACCAGTAATGACAAAGGCATAGTACTGTCTAACTGATATCAGAGCTTTTACAATGTATATCTATATAATACTTACACCAGTAATGACAAAGGCATAGTACAATATATATCTATAAAATACTTACACCAGTAATGACAAAGGCACAGTACAATGTGTATCTATATAATACTTACACCAGTAATGACAAAGACGTAGTACTGCCTTACTGATGTCAGAGCTTTTACAATGTATATCTATATAATACTTACACCAGTAATGACATAGGCATAGTACTGCCGTACTGATGTCAGAGCTTTTACAATGTATATGTATATAGTACTCACACCAGTAATGACAAAGGCATAGTACTGCCGTGCTGATGTCAGAGCTTTTACAATGAATATATATATAATACTCACACCAGTAATGACAAAGGCATAATACTGTCTCACTGATGTCAGAGCTTCTGTTTCTTTTTGTGATGTAGATGTCTGTGTACTTTGGTCATACCAACTGTAATAAAAATATACTTGTTTTTGTGTGATTGTATTTGAATTATCTCCCCTTGACTAAGGTTGTCATTTGCTGTTGTTATTTATTTTGTGATTCTCTACCAAAATGTCATGTCTGACCCATCTGTTAATGATCTCTGGTGGCCTCTCCTGGTACTTTTCATTTTCAACATCATAGTATGAACAGTGATGCATATGGCTAGAGGAGAAGGCTGATGCCATCATTAACCTTATCAACATATTCAGGTTTTCTAATCCAGAGTGATAAATGATGAGTATGATCCAGTAGATAATTATCATATATATAATGTAAAATTAGCATATCTAACTTTTTAACTTTAGACTGTTATTGAAAAAATCAATATTAATACATGAATCATAAATTATCTATGTTTTTATGTATCATAATGCTTGGTGTTTTTTCAGATTAAATAAAAATCAATTACAAAAAAAACTGTAATAAAAAGATATAGATGTGGTGGTCAGGCGCCGATCTAGACAATTTGAAAAGGGGGTTTCGACCCCTTAAATAAAGGCAACAGTAGTATACCGCTGTTCGAAATTCATAAATCGATTGAGAAAAACACAAATCCGGGTTACAAACTAAAACTGAGGGAAACACATCAAATATAAGAGGAGAACTACGACACAACAGAAATACAACACTAAAATGTAACACACACAGACACGAACTATAGTATAACAATGGCAATTTTCCTGACTTGGTACAGGACATTTTAAGAAAATAAATGGTGGGTTGAACCTGGTTGTGTGGCAAGCCAAACCTCCCGCTTTTATGGCAATGTTAAATATAACATTAATATGACAACATTACATGACAGGACTACAATACAAATAAATGGGAGAACATATAGCATGTATAGGACAGAGAAACACACAAATAATAGCTATTAAAAGGTACCAGGTTTATAATTTAATACGCCAGACGCGCGTTTAGTCCACACAAGACTTATCAGTGACGCTCAGATCAAAAAAGTTCGAAAGCCAAAACAAGTACAAAGTTGAAGAGCATTGAGGACCAAAAGTTCCAAAAAGTTGTGCATAATACGGCTAAGGTTTTCTGCCTGGGATAAGAACATCCTTAGTATTTAGAATAATTTATACCGAAGTGGTGACTAACTACAGAATAAAAAAGAATACATAAAAACAACCTAAACCAGCACATAAAACATTCACATAATTAAAAAAATAATAAACGAAAAAAGGATAGGGTTCATAACCCCTGGTGATCAGTCCAATGATATCATTTCCATTATCACAACTAACCAATCAAAAGCACATACAATAATTTGACGAAAATATTTTCAAAAAGACACAAAAAAAAATACAGGGTTTGACGAAATTTTTTCTTATACAGTTTCTTAATCTTATAGTTAATGTCAAAGTGTCTCTTGTTTGAAGAATACACATCTTATTTTTATGCATCCCTTATAAATCTGATTAAGAAGATTTGGTATGAGTGCCAATGAGACAACTCTCCATCAAAGTCAACAAGTTAACATTTTATAGGTTAAAGTACACTATATAGATATTCATCATTTCCATTGTCCATTTAATAACAAACCAACTTACTACTTATATACAGCATAATCTACAACTATCAGTAACTCTAACTGGTGTAATCCAGTAGCCCTTTTGTGTCTGTGGTTTCTCTTTATAAATGTGTGATTACTCTTAGTAGCTTGTTTTGTCGTATCTGCTACAAATAAAAACATGAATTTTTTTTTTTTAAAGGACCAGCTGTTCATTGAGGTAAACATTATATAAAATGGATGGTGTGGTTAATAAATGTTTCTCGATTCCCGTTTTTTATATAGATTTCAACCGTTTGTTTTCCTGTCTGAATTGATTTACACAAGTAATTGTTGTGCCTTTTATAGCTTTCTGTTCGTTGTGATCACAGGATCCATATGAAATACAGAACTTTGACCTATAATTGTTTACTTTTTATGCATTGTGACTTAGATGAAGATTTGTCTCCTTGCCACTCATATCTTCTTATCAAAACATGATAGATACTTAAGTTTTTGTCAATATAGTGTCTAGATTAAGTATGTTTACATTGTTATTTTATGTGCTTGTCTCAGTAAATTTGAAACGTCTTGTTTCAGGAAATCTGATGTTTCTTTTCTTTGCATCTTTTATGATTTGGTTCGGAATAAACGCCTTAAAAAGAATATATCTCACCTTTTCCTAGAAAGTCGTTGAAATTAATTTCAGGGAATTTTTCCTTCCTAATTTCGAACTGATTAAACCCAGACTTAAGCGTGGTGTATGTTTTATTTTTGGTAGTTTGGACGATATATTCCTCGCTACCCATATTAAATGTTCCAAACTGTACAAATAGAAAAATAAACTTGTTGAAAACATTTCAACACTAAATAATACCATATTTTTTCTTTGCAATTAAGAGTCGAAGTATCTGAATATTACCATTATTAAATTTTGGATACAGGATTATAATTGAATTGAAAGAAAATAAAGTATGAGATATTGCACATTCTGCTGCTTTTAAATATGATACGAATTCCATTTTTGCCAAACTTATTAACATACAGATTCTGTGTCCACGCTTTGCTATATTTAGTCTATTTCTAGTTCAATGCAAATAGATTTGTTAAATGAGTTTTCAATATGATACAAAATTATTTATTTGCAAAAGAACAAGTACTCACATATAGGTATACAAAAGAGCATGTACTAAGATATAGGTGAACAAAAAGAGCAAGTACTAACATATAGGTATACAAAAGACCATGTACTAAGATATAGGTGAACAAAAAGAGCAAGTACTAACATATAGGTAAACAAAAGGAGGAAGTACTAACTGTAGGTAAACAAAAAGAGCCAGAACTAACATAAAGGTATACAAAAGAGCAAGTACTAACATATAGGTCTACAAAAAGAGCAAGTTCTAGCATTTATGTATATAAAAAAGAGCAAATAATACAATTGCTTGTGCAAATAAGTGCACCAGATGCATAATGGGTGCACGCGTTACTTTGAAGAAATGATAAACAACGGAAATATTATTTAAGTACATGTCATCCTATTATATGTTTAATGGTTGGACAGCTTAAACATGCGTTTAGATAGTTGGTTTCTGCATGCTTTATAAGGATATAATGTTTTCCAAATTGGATGGCAACAATACATTGTCCTTACCATATGCGTCTCTTTGAATTTATCATATTGGTAAACAAACACTGCACCATGCACTACGTCTTGGTAGAAAATGGATTCCTGCAATTAGTTTAAAAATAAAAATGAAACATATTGACGAATTTCAAATTAAAGAAAAAGATTTTACTGATTGCTAACCTTAGCACCATATACCATTTGATGGTTTCGAAGTGAACTTAAAAACAGTTTCATACATTACAAACAAAGAGAGCTTCATAAATAATTGCTTACCAGGACTATTTACACAATTTCTTGTATTGAGTCAACCACATTAATGACGACCATTTGGGGTTTTCCTTTTTCCGATAATTTCCTAACATAGATACAGGCATATGCAAAAGGAAATATGTAGCATCTTAATTCATGTCTTAGTTACTCGTGATTCTGATCTCTCTTAATAAATTTTCTTACTTTCCAACATAGCCTAATACGGTAGTAATCAACATTGAATTTATTGACCGAATCCAAGTGGAAAAAGTCAATATTGCACACTTAAACTTGATGAATTTCGTAAATTTACAAGTGTTTGTGATTTTTCACGTCCCTCTTTTTAGCTCACCTGGCCTGAGATAACTAGAGAACTACTGAAAGATGAAATCAACCAATGCAAGAAGTGTGGTCCAAGTGTTGTTACTTTGTAGCAGATCCATCATCCAAGCACGCTGCCATAGAAGGACTTAGTGTAACATATGACTCTATGGAAAAGACATTCAAATCTCTTCTTTGTAGTAACCACTACATGGAAACGATTGTTGTAAATTTGTAACCAAGATGGCAGCCAGCGGGGAAATTAGTTTAACAAAGGACATTATGTGAAATACATACAAAAGTCTTCTTTGAAAAAACACCGAATAGAATGAAACCAAACATGGCATTGATGTTCATTAAAACCTCATAATGAAAGCAAATCCACCAATCAAGATGACCGCCAACAGGGGACTAAGTTAAACAAAGGACCCCATTGGAAATATATACAAATGTCTTCGTCTAGAAAACCGCTTGATGGATTGACACCAAACATGGTATGAATGTTTTAGTGAGGTGGTGACCAAGTGTTGTACTTTATAACTGATTTGTCATCCAAGATGGCTGCAAGCAGGGGAGTAAGTTTAAAAAGAACATTATGGGAAGTATATACAAACGGTTTCTTCTAGAGAACAACTGAATAGAAAAAGACTAAACATGGCACGAATGACAACAATTTCAATGAATTGATTGATAATTTCTGGAAACTTCACAAAAGTCATATGTTTTTGGTTAGATAACGGGGCCAATATTAAACCAAATTTGGTCTCAATCATTATAAGGGTATCTTTTTTATTTTATTCTATTTTTACATGATTTCCAAATTTAAAGTCGAATCAGGTGAGCGACACAGGCTCTTGAGAGCCTCTAGTTTATTAATTCCATCATTGCATTTTACTGTTTATGTTGCGCTTCGCTTTTGTATGGCTGTCTTTAAATCCCATGAAATTATTTTCAAATTATCAAAGCTGTAGCTTTGATCAAGGAATAATATTACAGTTAAGTATACATATATGTACATAGAAATGTTTATAAGTCTCGTATATTTACAGCTATCCAGCTATATCATACTCGGGTTATGTCTAGACCCCCCCCCCCTTTTTTTTTGACATGCTATTTTGTTTACAAACATTTGTTTCTATTAATATAATGTAAGAAAAATACACGGGTACCACAAAACAACAAAGTTAGTTTGGTTTATTTAAGGTAGATTCATGGTATACCGCCATCTTGGATTGTACAATCCCAGTACAAAATCGGTCTAGTTATTTGCCCAAATCTGCAAATTTGGAGACAGATTTGCAATTTATTGGTTAGACTGTTTATTTATATAAGAAAAATTAATTGTATAACCCAAAATATTAAAACAAATATCAAATTTTGTGTTTTAAAATCACTTTTTTCAAATAAGACATTTAAGTGGAGATAACTCTTTAAGTTAAAAATATATACTGGACTGATAGGGAAATTTTTTATTTGTACTTGTAGCAAGAAAACAAGTTCAGTGACACCATTTTTCCTTTTTATTTTCTTAAAACATATTACAAAACCTATCTTCTCACAATTTATTTCAAAATTCTATCTCATAGATTTTTTTTTATGCACACAAATGTGTTTTTTCATGAACAATCTAACCACATTTAGGCAATTTTCAACGACTCATAGCTTGGAAAATAGCACGGTGACCGATACTTTTTAATATATTTTAAAAAAAAGCATAGTAAAATCTTCATTTTGGCAAAGTATAAGAAAATTCTATCTCAAGAAATATATACCTATGATCTACGTTAAGGATTATTCGATAAAGTCTTATCTTAAGGCTAGAACAAATCTTTAGAAAACTTTAAATATCTATTATCAAATTTATCATTAAATATCTATTATCAAATTCATCATTAAATATCTATTATCAAATTTATCATTAAATATCTATTATCAAATTTATCATTTAAGAAATAGTTCTTTCATGCCATGCTCTATGCTCATTTTAACATGGGTAGGCATTATATTTGTCAATATCTTAATACCGAGCGTTAGCAAGTTGTTAAATGTTGGGAAATATAATGCCTACCCATGTTAAAATGAGCATAGAGCATGGCAGGATAGAATTATATCGATTCTAATAGGAAAATTTTGAACGTTTGTACTTCGAAGCGGATCTATAATACACGCTCAAAAGGCAGTCATTTTGATTTGAAGAACCAAAAACGTTATAGAACATCATCAGTTCAACGATAAAAAATGAACAGATACATGTAAACTTATTTTAAGATTGATTTTATTTAATTTCATAGCGAGCAACACCAACACAAATGTCCATTTTGATCTCCGGCGTTTTTCAAAATTCAACTGACGTTGCACTTTCAGTTGTGACGTCAATCACGTGAAGCCCATATTTTATTGAAATTAGAACATGTCTATGTATTCAAAGCCAAAGAAGAACGTCATATTAGAATAAATATCTATTATGAAATTTATCATTAAATATCTATTATCAAATTTATCATTAAATATCTATTATCAAATTTATCATTAAATATCTATAATCAAATTTATCATTAAATATCTATTATCAAATTTATCTAAACGTAAATACTATAATAATACCTGTTAAAATGAAAAACTTGTTCTTCAAAATTGTTAATCAAGTAGGTGAAAAAGGGACAGAAACGGTTTTAAAAAAAGACCAAGACTTTACGTACAATTTTGTCTTCTAAGTACACATATGTCCTCGAGTTGCCTTTGAGGCTAAGTGTTGGTACTGAAGTTCTAATGTTGTCATTCCGAGTCAAATGTAAGTTAAGATGCGACTTTGACAATGTCACATCAAGGTCGTATGTTTCTGGATGGAATGTGTCGTCTGTAGATCGTTTAGTTCTTCCTCCTTCTGTTATGTGTATGTTTATATATTCTACAAAGAAGAATTTAGCAATTATATACATTGATTAAGTGACTGGTTGGTATTTAACTCCACTGTCAGTACTGTTGGCTATTTCATGGTGGCTAGTAATTATTGTTGGATGAAGCCAGAGTACATTGGGAGAACCACTAATCTTCGTTAGGAAAACAATCGAAGCAAATTAAGATAGGAGTCAAATGCACCTGACTCTTGCAATACTCAAATCCAAAACCCCAGTTTTGACATGAGGATACTCGTTCACCGAAAAAAAATAAAACAATAATCCTTTTTTTCAGATAGAAAGTCTAACAACGGTATACGCCTAATAGTAACAATAAAAAGAAAAAAAATGAAATACAGGTGAGAAATTTAGAAAAAAGTACATTAACTAAGAATGAGTTGTTTTCTTCGATCGTTAACACAATGTTCACTGATTAAAGCAATCCCCAAGATGAAACGATATTTAATGCTTGTATTTCCTATCATGATTTTCTTAATATATGTTTACTGCTCACAAGTAAGCTATTACACTAAGAGTACCAAGTGGTGAAGTTGATCCCTTCGTTAATTTTTCAAATGCCATCAAGAGTTGGATGACCGTTATTGATGTTTGTTTCACAGATTACGACGTTTATGTTCCAACTGATGTAACTAAATCCCATCCTTATTTGCCATTTATACGACCTACCAAAACAGACTTATCTCTGGGTTTGTACTAAACGAACAATGTAACAGGCCAGGATCTGTTTGCTCTTCCGGAGCACCTGAGATCTCAGTTATTTAACTTACAGAATCATCAAATTGTTAATGATTATGTCATGATTATATAAATTAATTGGGAATTAAACACTTGCTATATGTTGATATAAACAGTTTATTTTATAAATTTAATTACATCTACTTTTCCTCGGTCAGTCCGTCTCATGAAATACCGTATCATTTTTCTCGGAGAACTTCAAATCAGATCTGCCTTACATTTGATAGCGTTTTCACATTCATCGCTTCCAGCTTCTGGATTATCGAATACTTGAATATTCTAACACATCACAAATATTTATTGGTTTTAATATTAATTTTGTAATCAGTAAATTAAAATTAATCTAATATTATTGTTACATGTATATACCTATGCATATCCATGGCTCAACAATCTGTCGATATATGCAACTTGGCATTGCACAATGTCATGTTTTTATTACTTTTATTGCGTCTTGACACTTCATCCATTAAATGTTTGATCTGTACTGATTGATAATGTAGTGTCTTCGATGCATGATTTGTTTTACTAGTTTTTATTGGCCTTGAATTAGCTGTCGGTTACTGCGAGTGCCCTAAGAACTGTACTTAGTGTATATTTGTTGTTCCGATTCACAAGTACCCGTCCGTGTCCACTTGTCAATTATTTGTAATATGTATGTTTATTTGTATCAATCTGATGAGTTAAGCCTTTTCTAACTGTCATTTATAATTTGTTCTAATGTTGTACTGTTGCATCACTGTTCTAAGTTAAGGGAGGGTTGGGCGCCTTCGAACTAGTTTAACCCTATCACATTCTGTATGTGCCTGTCCCAAGTCAGTGGTTTTCTTTTTTTTTTTTTGCTGTGTTACATATGTGTTTTACGTTATTTTAAACATTAACTAGACAGTTAGTTTTCTCGTTATGATTGTTATACATTTGTAATTTCGGAGATGCACTGACTATGCGGTATGGGCTTTGCTCATTGTTGAAAACCGTACGGTGACTTATAGTAATTAATTGCTGTGTTACTCGTGTCTCATTAGCAATCATACCACACCTACGTTTTCGACGAATTTTCTTATGACCTATAAAAACAGAGCTTCATCAAATTTGATGGCAAGCTTTCGGTCAGCATACTATTACATATGCCACATTTTATCATTCATCTTTTCATTAACTTTCTTTTTGCTCGAACACTCAAAGCGTAGGTATCACCGAAGAGATAAAGCTCACAATTCAACTTGTTAAATATAAGGATTGAACTCGCTGGATATCTTGGTATTATCAGTGGGTCCTTTGCACCTTTTGTTTTTGCTTTCCAAAACTGTTCATCGACCTTTTAATTACTGTTACTCCATTTAAACCGTTTTGTAGAGGTAGGAATATCTGTTTTGTAATTTGGATTTTAACAACTAAAGTTTCAAGTTTCGGGTGTAAAATGCAGGATAAAAACGATAAAAACGATATTTGTTAATTGTCGGTAAGTGTAAAATGTATTTGTACTCGCTATGAAACAAGAGGAAAGCTATGGGAGCCTCGCTTTTCGTCTTGTTTCTACAGCTCATACTAAAAATTTTTATATTTCCCGACAATGTACATATTGTATATTTGTTTGACTGAAGTTTTATTAGGATTTTTCTGTAATAACCTTTTTTTTCAAGATCTTTGCGTCTCTACATTGCTGTCATATTAGGGTTAGGGGAAAATATATGTACATTTACACATTATGGAATTTGCATAATCTTGCGTAATCTTTTTAATTTACTGATTACTAATTTTCTGTAAAACCTATATTTAAACTAATAAAAAAATGACCAAAAGATAAATGCATAATCACAAGCCGTCCATTTTGCCACTAATGAAAGGGGCGTGAATAAATATGCAATTTGTAATTTATTTGTAAGAGGTGAAATTTAAATATTGTCTGTATACCCAATCACAAAATGTACTTGTAAGAATCCCCTATTAAAGAATATCTAGACGGTTTCCTCTTTAGTGTTACAATGTACATAAAGGTCTCTAATTTTATTGTGCAATAATATTTTTTTGATCGACCTCATTACACGTTGAACATCTGCTTTCTTCTACACTATGTTAATATCCTACCTGGCTAAATTATTTATGTTAATTGTTTATAAATCGAATTTGTAAGTCTATCAGATTCCTATGGTTTATTTACTACAGGTGTTTGGAAATACCTTTAAATAACCTTATATCAGTTTGTATTTTTAAGTTTCTAAATTTCTTTTCTAATATTTTTTTAAATCAACCTCATTAAATGTGAAAGTATCCTACCTGGCTCATATCTTATTTCTTTATGTATTGTGTTTTTTAACTAATAGCTCTTCTCATCGAATGATTTATACTAACCATTAGATTATGATGTTTAAGGATGTTCACTCCTCTTGTTTTTGAAATTTTGCCAGATATTCGGAATCTTCTGGTTTTATCCATGTAGTGGCATTAAAAACATTTCCCCGTAAACACCTAATTTTCTTTTCATAATTTTATGACATTAAGTTTAAAAAGTCATATTTGAAAATCCTTAAAAAATCCTTGTTATTTTTTCATATTTTTTTAAAGAAAAAGGGTACCAATGTTAAATGTACGAAAAGTCTAGAGAGAATTATTTCCCGCCAAATTTTCAATGGCTTATATCTTGAAAACAAGCACCAGGATCCTTAATTTTTTTCTGCTTTTTAATTTCTTTTTTATATACTATCAATTTGTAACAGCTTGTTATTTTGAAACAGAGTAGCAAACATCCTTGATTCACCATTTTCTACATAAGAACATGCCTAAACCAAGTCAGGAATATGACGTTTAATGTGCTTTTGAGTTACCATTTGATAGGAGACTTTCCGTTTTGTATTTTCCTCGGAGTTCAGTATTTTTGTGATTTTACTATTGATGTAATGGATCTTGACTGACAATGAATGATTGCTAAATAATAAAAAAAATATCTATAAATTAATTACCAGGTGAGGGATACCTTTGAATATCCGTATATCAATTCATATTTTACGGTTCAAAGTTACTTTTTTTAACATTTTAAATAAAGATTTATTGCTCTAAAGCTGTTAACAATGACCTTACTGCTACAGCTTTAACTGTAAGGTAACCTGCTATTGTTAATATCTATAAGAACAGGGTTTCATATATATCGGATTGTTTACCTTGTTTAAAGGTGAGAGCATGCCTTTTAATGGATATTTATTGTGGAATTGGCCGGTTTTACATCTTTATACTTGCATTTTAAACTTATTAGGTAAGTCGTTTATTTATTTGTATAGTAATATAGCTGTCTGCCTAAAAATTTCATAAAAATGTTTTGTTTTTTTTTTTGGATTTTATGTGTCATTTTAAGATAAATTTTGAAACTAAGGACTGTAGTTTAATCTTTGTCTAGATTGTATGATCTTACGTTTTCTTCATATTCAGGTTTAAAGAACACGAATACATAAGAAAATGTATTTCTTTTGTTTGATACATAGTACGATTTGTAGATTGCAAATCCTATAATTGTCAGAATTGTATTGAATCCGATATGCTCGCTATCTATAATTTTCTAGCCTTTTACTAAGTTAATTGTTTTATCAAAATTTATTTGAGATAAAATTTATAATTTCCAAAAACTCTTTTAGATATTAACATTGCTTTAAAAAACAAAAATGATACGTGTCTTTGAGTTGGCAAAGCTGACAATATGGGATAGATTCGATTTTCTATTTGTAGGGATTTTCTCTATTTGGTAAAATGCAACGTATCAATTTCAATCTAAACCTTTTAAGTTTGTTCAGTTTTAAATGTTGGTGTATAAATTTAAACATCTATTTGGAAAAATTTTAATTTATTTCTAGTTTTTTTTTCATCTATTTATGCCAATGTTTGGAGAAATCTTTTGTTGAACGAGGTTTTGATAAAATTGAGATTGGAAATGGGGAATATGTCAAAGAGACAACAACCCGACCAAAGAGCAGACAACAGCCGAAGGTCACCAATGGGTCTTCAACGTAGCGAGAAAATCCCGCACCCGGAGGTGGTCCTCAGCAGGCCCCTATATGATACATATGTGTTGTTGCATAAATTTTCAATTTCAATATTAATTTTGTTTATAATAATATGTTAAAATTTCTATTTGATTTGATGTATTAGTTCGTAGCTTAAACCTTTAGTCATGAAGTTGGTACTGCTTTTTTTACTATCGAAATTTCTGTTATCCAGTTTTTGATGTTTTTCAGTTTTTTAGATATTTTTTGTTGGCATTTTTTCCATTGTCGTCTATAATATCATTAAGATAAATGAAATCACTGTGTTTTCAATTATGTATAATAAGCGGCTAGTTTTGAAATTTGATAAATTTATTACCCCAGAAAACTTGCATTCTGATCTCGACAAAGTTTTTTTTTCAAATCTGTGTTTTTCGTTTCATGAACTGAAGTTCAACATTTATTATATCTAAGAAAAAATCTGGAATATCCTTAGTTATATCTAGTATATATTTTGCCTTAGTTAGTTAGTCATTATTCCTACTGACATTACGAACAGTAGAGTAGAACACGTGTATCCCTTCCAGATACCTCTAAGGGGGTCAAAAGGGGCAAATATCCACCCGTCATTACATGTAGAGCTATTCTTATTTGTATACAAGGTTCTTATCAAATTTTTTAAGGGTTTATGAAAACCAAAATTATGATACATAAAATTCCATTCTAATGTGTCGAAAGCTTTCGAAAAATCTATGAATGAAATAGCACCTTCTATATTAAACGTATCTGCGTAATCTATTACATCTTGTATTGTGGTAGATTAAAACCTACTAATCTGTTCTTTATGTATCCTTTTCCCTTTCCGTCACAAGATTACCCACTCTTGTTTTGATCTTATTTGTTTTCTTTATCTTTGTATTCATATTAGTTTCTAGCTCTTTTGCTAATGTGGATATTTTTTTTTTTATAAAATCATTTCCTCATTTTTTGAATTTGCATATACTATTTTTAGTTGTGATTCTAAATTATGTGTTACATTTTTTTTTATATTTTTTACTTAAATTTATTATACTATACTTAATACTATATTCCTTTATTTCTAATATGAACGAGTCCCACAGAAGTCTTTGATCAATTTTTTTTTCTATCTTATTATTATGTTTTTGTATTGTTTAACTTATATGACATTCATACTCTTGCTCGTCGAGAATGCCGTTATTAATTTTTCCAGTATCCCGGGCATCTAGTTTCAGTTGAGACACATTGCAATTGTATGGAAACTGCTTGGTGGTCAGTGCTTTTAATAAAAATGGGCCTAATATTACACGACAAAACGTGTAAAACGAAATCTTTTTTTTCAACTTGGAACACGTCATTCGACTAGACTGGGCTGGGTTTTTACGTCTCCATGTATATTTGATCTTATGGGGGTTTACGTATTTCCATATATTTATTAAGCCGTTTGATTTTATTAAATTAGTTAGGCTATTGACTGGTTTACTTACTTTTTTACGAAAATTTGAATGTTATATATCTACATCTTTAAAGTCTCCTTTTAAAAGTTTTGTACCTATTGCGTTTTTATTTTTAAAGTCATTTAATTTTTGTAACAGATATTTTGTTCAGATTCATTATTCAGGGCATATATGTTTATAAGAAAATAGATTATATTCTCAAATTCGATATTAATCATGATTATACGACCTTCTGAATCTTCATGCTCATCTATTAATCTGAAGTCTAGTTTTGTATTAATTAATGAAGCTACCCCTTTGCTTCAGGTTGGCCCATGTCTATAATAACAAGAATGGTCTGATTCAAATTTAGTTAGATCGTTTTCTAAATATGTATTGAAGTGAGTTTCTTGAATAAAAGATATTTTACATTTCTAATTTTTTATGCATTGGTAAATCTCGATCTTATTTGTTTATCTAGAAGTCCTTTAATGTGCAGGTTATTTTACATGCTTTAATTAAAAAATAAGTCTATTTTCATGTTACTTTTAATTAGTTAATGAATTTTATATTTGGGTGGCGTTTTAAAAGTACACTTTATTTCACCTAAATTTTATCGTCGTGTGTTAGCGTTGGATATACCTATGACAATGACTACTATATCAATTGTCTTTTGTGTAACTGAATTGCAATAATATTGTTATAGTCTGTTTCACAATTGAGTTTTGTCCACTATTGAGATGATATATTTTGAAACATATTAGATATACTTATACACAATTACTTCATACTTGAAATACAAATCGCACACCATAAACATAGAACTATTAACGAAAATACAAATTAACGCATCTTGTTGCTTTAAACAAACTGGAACAAATGTGTGGTTTTGACTGAGAAACAATAATATATTGTCTCTTACTTTCTCAGCTAGTAATGTGATTATATTTTCTTATATTTTAATCTCTGATGAAACGGAACTGTATGTTTCTGATATTATGTATTTTTTTTGAATTTTTAAATTGTTATTTGCTTTTTGCATAATATTTTGCGTTTCTCAATTACTTCCGATCATTGAAAGTAGGGACCAAGCTCTTTTAGAAATATGTGCAGAAATTGAAACATCATGCCGAAAAATTGTTTGCGCCTGTCCCAAGTCAGGAGCCTCTGGCCTTTGTTAGTCTTGTATGATCTTTATTTTTAGTTTCTTTTATATATTTTGGAGTTTAGTATGACATCCATTATCACTGAACTAGTATACATTTTGCGGGCAGCTGAAGCACGACTTCGGGTGCGGGATTTTTCTCGCTGCATTGAAAACCCATTGGTGGCCTCCGGCTGTTATCTGCTCTTTGGTCGGGTTGTTGTCTCTTTGACACATTCCCCATTTCCATTCTCAATTTTTTTTGGTATTGTATAACCAAAAAAAGGGAAGGAGAAAACAAAAATGAAAACAAAATAAAGAAGACCTAAAATGTAATTTGAATAATTACTAACTAAACTTTTATTTGCTATAGTAGTATCATTTGATTAATACATGTATACCCTTAGTCCAAGTAAACAAATAACTACACCAAATGTTTTCACATCTCTAACAGTATAATTTATTCGTATTTTCATCTCTGTAAGGATACGAATATGACTTGAATTAATGAAAAAATAGTCTAGTTTTATGGCATTTTTATAACTAAAAATATATATGCAATGATAAAATAAATAATAGAATACCATGTGGGGGAGGGTTACTCTTTTTGGTGCTCTTTCTGAAAAGGGTAGATGGTATGAAATAGTTAGAAACCATGGATTTTGTCTTCTATGTAATAAACATGATATTGGCGATGAAGTTCACTACAATTTTGAATGTACATATCAATAAAGTATGATACACCTGGAAAAAACGAATGCCAATACTTTGAAGAAAACAGGAAACATATTGTATGTTACATTATTATTTTAGAAATGCAAATATTATTAGATACAGGCAGATGATGTCTTCAAAAACAATTAAGAATTAATAATACTGGGTAAATGATTAAGGATTATCAACTTAGTGCTCCTGGCTTAAATGAAATTCATATATTGTCTTAATACAATTGTTTTGTTGTTCTATCTTATTGAAAATATTGTACATATATGTATTCGCTATACCTATGTGTATGGGTACTTGAGAATAAAGATATATACAATGATGCCCATATTACACATATACATCTTTAGCTTGTTGTCCACTTTGTGGTATCAGTTGATGATTAAGACAGAAAAAAAACACTTCTCATGCAGCAAATTATGTTTGTAACTTTTCTTACCTAATTGTGTTTGTTGATTTGGTCCTTGATCCATTCTAAGAAAACAATTAACAGGAATAATTAAAATCCATGCGAAAAATATATAACGGCATTTTTCCATAGCTACTAAGTCCATCATGAAAGACTAACACAACAAAAATAAAGACAAAATGGAAAATTGACTGTTAAGTGACAAATTAGGATTTGATCAAACGCTTGGCTAGTCGATTCAGTTGACCAGTTTATTATTTACATAAGAAAAGGAGTATAAAAATTAAGGATACAAATAGGACGTACAGTGGCTAACCGTACCTACCAATCATATCACAAATGGGATACAAAACATATTCGAAGAAGGGAGACTATAAAATTAATGTTGAGCAACCAAGCAATAAATATTGATGTAACCTAGTACATATATACTATATTTAATATTTGGCCTACATTTTGACTTATCTAATTATTTATAATTTTTCTTGTTCGCCTCTATGGTTTTCATTTTAAGACATATGTAGATATGTAAGTATAGGTAATATATTTTATTGAAAGAAGGTTGCCAACAGCCAGTGGCTATGTGTTGGTCTCCTCAAATATGCTTTCAAATACGAAAACTGAGGCTTATATGTTGCAATGAAATATGCGAAAAAAAATAGAAATAAGGTTTGTTGTTTTTTAAGGTTATAAATTTGTACCGCGTAACACATGAGGCGCTGTTTTACTGAATATTCCCTATTTTCTGATATTAAAGAATATTTCTTTATATTATAAAATTGAATTCCTGATATCAAACATTTATTTTTTAATATCTGAAAATAATTTTTGATATCAAAAATTCTTTTGATATAATAAAAATCCCTATTTTAATATCAGGAATTTGAATCTTGACATCAGAAAATTCTATTTATTTCTTGATTATAAAATTCGATTATATGATATCAAAAAAAAACATTGTTTGATATCATGAAATCCATTAGATGCTTGCATGGACTAACCAACAGACTTAGTTCATGCACGCATTGGCTAACCCAATTAATGTATGCATGTTTAGGTTAGACCATGCATACATGGACTTACCCACCGAAATTAGTGCAATCATGCATGGACTATTACCACTTTTTTATTTAAACATATATATAAACTACATTGATTTAGCAGCATTAGTCCATGCATACATGAACTAACCCAACTTATGGGCCAAGTCTGTTGTGTTAGTCCATGCAAGCATGGACTAAGTAAACGTTAGTTGCCTTCGTCCATGCCTTCATGGAATAAGCTTAGTTCTCTAGCTGTCATGTTAACATAATATGAAAAGGTTCAGTCGTACTATCAAGTGTTTGTAGTTTATTTAATAAGGTAAGTTAAAATGCACAATATGCCTTTAAATCGTAAGTTTTTGGTTGAATATGAAAAAATGAACTAAGAAGAAAAAAATGATAGTCACCTAAAATAAAAAAATAATCTAACATTATGAAATTAAGCGGTAAGGAGTAATACAGGTTTTCTAAACTTGATGTTGATTTCCAGTTTTATTTAATATCTTGTTGTATGCAAATATCATAGTCAAATATTTGAATAAGAGGTATATATGCTGAGTTGTTTTCTGAGATCGTTAATCCAATGTGTACAGATTAAAGCAATCGATATTCAAGCTTTTATTTCCTATCATAATTTCATTGATATATGGTTACTGCTCACAAAGAAACTATTACACCAAGAGTTCCAAGAAGGAAAGTTGAAATCATCCTTTCGTTAATCTTACGAAAAGCATCGCGAGTTTGTTAACCTTTGACAACGTTTATGTTTCATCTGAAGTGACTACAATCCCGTCCTATTTCCCGACCTATCAAAATATACGTATCACGGTTTGTACTAACACGAACAACCGGACTGGTGCTACACGTGGAGCAGGAACTGTTTACTCTTGGAGTACCTGAGATCAGAACGGAAACCGTTAACTAAATGTAATTACGCCTCCTTTCCCATCGTTTAGTCCGTCTCATGAAATTTCCGTTGCATTTTTCTCTAGGAACTACAAATCAGATCTTCCTTAAATTTGACCGCAATCTATGTGAGACACGGTGTCACATTAATCATGTTAATCGCTTTGCGCTTCCGGATTATCGAATACTTGTATATTCTTACACGTCATTAGCATTTATTAGTATTAATATGAATATTGAATTTGTTATCAGTAAATCAAAATCAAACTACTAGCAAGTATTAATGTTATATACACATGCACATCCCTGGCTCTACAATCTGTCGATACCCCTATATCCTGGCATAACAGAAGGTCATGTTATTTGCAGACCGTTTATGACGTCTCTACACTAGACCCATTGGATGTTGGATATGTTCTGATTGTAAATTTAGTCTTAAAGGCATGATTTTGTTAATTAGTTGTTATTGGCCTTGAACTAGCTGTCAGTAACAGCGAGTACTCTCTAATATGTACTAAGTGCCTTTTTGGTTGCTGGGATGTACAAGTACCCATCCATGTCCACTCTGCTTTTGTTAGTTGTATTTCATATTTTTATCCATCTGATGAGTTAAGCCTCTTTAACTGGTATTTAAAGTTTGTTCTTATGCTGTAATGTTGAATCATTGTCTTGGATTAGGGAAGGATTTGCGCATTCGAACTAGTTCAACCCCGGCATATTCTGTATGTGCCTGTCAGGAGATTTGTATAATCTTACGGAATCAAATTAGTTTACTAATTACTGTAAACCAACTTTTTTCGCGGATACTTTATTTCGCGTTTAGCCCTTTCTAGCCATTTCGCGGCGATTTAAATTCGCAATTCTGAAATTTACTTGTTGCAGATAAATAAGGAAAAATCCAAGTTTTACATATTCGCGACTATTTATATTTGCGTTATTTTTCTACTCGCGAAAGTCGCGAAAATAAATCGCTCGCGAAAATTAGTTGGTTTACAATACTTATTTTTCTGCATAACCTATAACATGTCTTTAATTATACTAATAAAAATAAACAAATTAAAACATTTATATCTTATCTGAAATGCCGTCCGTTTTGACACTAATGAAAGGACGGTGAATAGACATGTAATTTGTAAATGCTTTGTTAGAGGTGAAACTTAAATATTGTCTGTATACCTTTTCATAAAATATACATGTAAATAAACTCATCACAGATACCGGGTTCGATAATTTGTATTTCCACCAGACTCGCGTTTCGTCTACAAAAGACTTTTTAGTGACGCACGAAAAAAGAACAAAAAAAGTACAAAGTCAAAGAGCATTGATGACTAAATATTAATAAAAGTTTTGCCAAATACAGCTTAGGTAATATATTCCTGAGGTAGAAAAGCCTCAGTTTTTCAAAAATTCAAAGATTTGAAAACAGTTAATTTATAGTTATCAACATATCAATGATTATTCATTTCAACACATAAGTGCTGACTACTGGGCTGGTGATACCCCCGGGGAATAAAAAGTCCACCAGCAGTGTCATTGATCGTGACCCAGTCGTTGTAGATAAACTTATCATAGATACCAGGATTAAAATTTTGTATTTCCGCCAGACGCGCGTTTCGTCCACAAATGACCATCAGTGACGCTCGAATCAAAAATCTAAAAAGGCCAAATAAAGTACGAAGTTGAAGAGCATTGAGGACCTAATATTTCTAAAAGTTTTGTCATACACAGCTAAGGTGATATATTCCTAAGGTAGAAAAGCCTTAGTATTTCAAAAAATCAAAGATGTGTAAACAGTGATTTTATAATAATGACCATATCAATGATAATTCATTTCAACACAGAAGAGCTGACTACTGGGCTGGTGATACCCTCAGGGAATAAAAGCTCCACAAGCTGTGGCATCGACCCAGTGGTTGTAAATAAACTCATCATAGATACCAGGCTTAAAATTTTGTATTTCCACCAGACGCGCTTTTCGTCTACAAAAGACTTATCAATGACGCTCGAATCAAAAAAAGTTTAAAAGGCTAAATAAAGAACGAACTTGAGAAGCATTGAGGACCAAAATTGCTAAAAGTTTTGGCAAATACAGCTAAGTGTCCCCTTTTATAGAATATTTTGTGGGTTTCCTCTTTAATTAAACAATATGAACATAACAATTTGTAATTTTATTGTATTATAAAGTTCAAAGTTAAAATCTTGATTGACATGCATTACATTATATTAAAGAATGTTACAAGCTATATTCATATTTACAGAACAATTTAAACGTGAGTAAACAGTCTTTCATTTGCTATTTGATAAGGGACTTTCCGTTTTGAATTTTTCTTGAAGTTCGGTATTATTTTCATTTTACTTTTTACTATGGATATAATTAATAAGACTTTGTTTGAAGAGCAAAACACAAAGTAAATTACTTAATATGCTAATTATTTATAAATAGAACTGACAAGTATATTGAATTCATTTGGCTTATTTAATTACGGGTGTGAAATATTTTTGAATAACCTTATGTCAATTTGCATTTTTAAGATGTTTAATTCCTATTATAATTTTACATTATATATCTATGTGTTTGCCTTAATCGACCTCATTACACTGTATACTGTAATACAATCCTAGATTGCACGTATTTTGTTTCTTTATGAATCGTGTATTTTAACAAATAGCTCTTCTTATCGCATGTTTCATAATAACTTTAAGATAATGATGTTATGTATCTTGACTGACAATTAATGATTACTAAATAATAAAAAAATGTCTATAAAATACTTATAAAAACACACCAGGTGCGGTATACCTTTGAATTTCACAATATCAATTTATACTTTATGGTTTTGAATTACACCCGAACGTTGAAAATAGAGCAGAACACTTTCAAAAATATGTTCAAAATTTGCAACATCATGCTGAAACATTGTTAGTATTGTTTAACTAAAGTACTAGACGTCGAATGACTTAACTTTCTGGTGAATAGTCACGGACACCTGTCTCAGAAATAACTCATTGTATAACCAAATCACAGTACTGAAGTACTGAACATCGGTTGACATCAAGTTCTGGTGGATAGTTACGGGCACCTGTCTCAGACAAAAATCATATCTCTATACCTAAAAGTTATGTTAAAGTACGTAGATATATTTTTTTCTGGGACAAGTTCCTGTGTGGGTGATGAATAAATGACAGTGAATTCACCCTCACCGTGATAATCATTATATTGTACTGATATAATCAT